AATCTATAATATAGAGCTGGTGGGCTGTATTCAACTCAGACTGTCAGAGGTTATGGAGGTCTGGGCTAGATAAAAGTGAAGGTTGATTGGAAGGATATGAGCTCAAGCTGCGACTGTGGTAACAACTTATTTCCAAGATATATCACAAGCAAGTCCGACCAGGATATTGAGAGCCTGTGCAGAAATGTCACTATGATGAAACCAGATTCATGGTGTGACAGGTGTAGTGTCATTAGTTGAGTTCTCGTCATGTGTTATTCCCTCACATAAATACACTCCAGTGAAGGGCAGAGGGATACTCCCTCACTCCAGCCCATTGCCAATCTTGTGCCCCATCACATGTTGAGGACTGAACATCTGCAGCAGGGAGTCTGCTCTACTCACATAGGATCCCTGTGTGACTTAGTGTCAGTCTAGTACAGAAAGTATTGGTCTGATGTGTAGAGATCTTTCCTGTTCTGCCTAGTGCAAGAGGGTTCTGGAAGGTTTCTTCTCCATGTGAAAGAAGGTTGTTGTTTGGGTTATTCCTTCTGAGAAGCTGAGTGCAGCTGGTTTAAACTGGTTCTGTTATCTTTCTGTCAAGATCATGCTGACTATAATAGTCAGGCCAGAAGGAGCCTTGGTTTCACTTACTTTCCCTTTCTATCTCTTTGTTCTGGTGTGGTGTTCTGTTCTGAATATAGTGTTAAGGTTTCATCTTATTATAAGTTCTTGTTAGTAATATAAGTCTGCTGCAACTGGATTTCTTATGGACTGTGCCAATCCTGAATGTATTGGATTTGTGACCATTATGCTCATTTGCCTTCAGTAGCGGTAAAGCTCTGCTGGATGAAGTACAATTGCCTCTGGTCTATTTTTTGGGAACTTTGCAACGTGTTTAAGTTTTTCCTCCACACTACTGACACTTAAAACCCTGGAAGCTCTAAATTGCACAGGTAGCTTACTTGAATAGAAAATATTCCGCTCTGATGGATTGCAACCCTCAATATGTAGACGGCTGGAGGACTGGTATCCATGATACAAGAAAGCGAGACCAGGAGAACACCTCTGATTTCTTCCCTCATTCACATGAAAGGGGAAGCTTATAGTTTAATCACTACGTCACATTGAACTTAAATGTATCTGAGTGTGGTCAGAAGTTTTCTGTTGTGTTCTTTGAGAGAAAGTTCTTGCCTAGCTTCCTGACTGGAGGTATGTAATCTAAGACTTCCATGGAAGGCTGCTTATAGAGTGATTCCAGTGGAGAGCTGGGTAGTACAGTGGTACCTTGGGTTAAGTACTTAATTCGTTGCGGAGGTCCGTACTTAACCTGAAACTGTTCTTAACCTGAAGCACCACTTTAGCTAATGGGGCCTCCTGCTGCCGCCACGCCGCCGGAGCCCGATTTCTGTTCATATCCTGAAGCAAAGTTCTTAACCTGAGGCACTATTTCTGGCTTAGTGGAGTGTGTAACCTGAAGCATATGTAACCTGAAGCGTATGTAACCCAAGGTACCACTGTATTTTTGTATTTTAAAAGAATGACGCACCAATTGCCGGAAAAGTAGGAAAGATTATATCCCATCAGCAAAATTCCCCACCTGGTTCTTTTAGCAGATCATCCTTGCAAAATCCATGTGGCATTTCCATTTTAACTGGAAAATATCTGCTCTTAATATCTGCTCTTTCATGCAGCTAAGGCCCAACGGTGTTTTGGGCTCACGTGCTAATGAGCATGCAGGGGGGAAGGAGTCAAGATAAGTGTCTAGCATTTCATCCATCTAGAATACCAATTCCCAGGGGGGGAAACAACTACAAGAATTACTGATGTAGAAAGCAGAGACCACCATTTATGACAAGCAGACATTATGTGTGAGCAAAGAGATGTCATTTGTTTCAGAGAGGCAAAATGAAGATTAGCATTGCAATGACACAATGTTCTCTGGAGCAGTTATTGTAGAAAGCATTGATGACAAAATATATGCTAGCTTGCTTTGGCCCTTAGCAGCCATGCCTAGGAGTGACAGGGCAGCCTAATTAATTGTGTTTAAAATGCATAGAGACTGAGGGTTTAAAAAGTCAAGTGAAAATCTTTTCGAACCCAGAAGGAAAGGAATCTGGCCAAGACGTGTTGATTAACCTTCTACAATTGACTGCCAAAGTGAAAAAGGACAACTACCAGTTTATACGCAGCCCTAACAAGTGTAAAAGACCCTCTCATCCCCTGTCACTGGTCCAGGGACAAAGAAATGAAACCAGGGAGATTTAACCCTGTAAAGGAACAAGTTAGGGTCAAAGAATTGGAGGCAAATGATCGTTTTTTCATCAGTATGGGGAAGCTGGTATGTGAGAGGCATTAATACTCAAGCGTGCAAACATCCCGTAGGCTGTATTATATTTCATATTATTGATGTACACTGCTTTGAGAAGCCTGCATAACAGGCAGTGTAGAAACATCTAAAGAAATAAATAATTAGTTTAAACCTCCAGCCGAAAACACTTTTTTGCACCCTTCGTTTGGTAAGCAGCATTGGCCATGTCAAATACTGGCAGTGGTACATTAATGTTTCTGTTCATGGAAGAAGTTTTCTCCTGCATGAGAGCAAGCAGTATTACCTCTGCTGTGGTCAGGGGTGCCAACTCCTAGTGGCCAAATCCTTTTGGGCCTCCTCCAATATTTGTTTGGGGGGCTGCCTCCAATGTTAAAAAATAAAAGTTGTGCCTGGTTGGAGGAGCCAGGAATGTGGCAGCAGTGCGACTTCAATAGCCAGCGGCTCTTCTTTTTCTTCTTCCTCCTCCTCCTGTCACCACCACCGCTGGGGGCTGCTGCTTCCTCCCTCCTTCCCCTCTGCAGCAGGAGAAGGAGCTGCCAGACATTGAAGCTGTACTGCTGCCGCATTCCTGGCTCCTCCAACCTGATGCAACATTGGGATGTCAGGATATCAGCATGATGCTTGCTTATGTAATTACCCAAGTCCAGCAAACTAGAAATTCCAAAAGGGGTGGACTCCTCCACAGAATCACTGTGGGTGATGATACTGGGCCCCAATAGTAATTTTGCATTGTGGATGTGCTATCATATCACTGATCAGAATGATCAGAGAGAACTTGAGATGACAAATGAAATCTAGGAAGCATCTAAAGAAGAAGAAGAAAACCCCCAAACTGTTATTATCACAGGACCAGCCAATAACTTTTAAAAAGCTTTTTTTTAAAAAATAAATGAGTGTATGTTAGAGGCCACACAAAAAACCCTCTTGGGAACTGGATATGGCCCACAGTTATTCACCCTTGCTTTAAGCTTGTTCTTTTAGAATACTTTATAAGGTTTCCTGGTCAAACTAGCCTCTGATCTTCCCAGTATGAACTTTGCTTTAAAGGTCTATGACCCAGTACACAGCACGTACCTAAAATAGTTTCTGCATTTGATCTGGGGCATATGCAGACTTCTGTGTTGCATGCCCAGTGCTGTATCAGCAAACATTTGACAAGTACTTTTTGCCCCTTTTAAAATGTGAAGTAGAGAGAGCAAACCTGGGCAATGCAATGCACACAGGACATCAGTGGGAAACGGACTTAGAAATCAAATAAAATTGTTATCTCTGCGCATGCACACAAGTGAATAGCAAGAAGCAACTTTGACTCACCCCGGCATCCACCATACAATCGACAATGAGATAAACTCTTCAGAACTTTTATCCTGTTGAGTAATTGGAACCGAACAGCCAGCTTTAAATTCAGGAAATAGCAGGAACTAAAATGCAACAGCGTGGAACGTAAGACACACAACCCCTGACACCTTTATGCTGGTGATATTTCACTAGGGCAAGCTGAACCTATGAAAATGATGAGTGTCTATAGAGCCAGACCCTATATTAAAAGACCTAGAAGTATGCCCATTCAGGGAGTGGGGGTGACGGAACTCTGCTGTTGTACAGAGAAAGAAAAATCTCTGTTCACATGCAGTACTTAAATAGTCCAGAGTAAATGGAATATTAGTAGGAAAGAACATGTAAATAAAACCCCTATTACCTCCTTCTACACCCTTTGTCTTGTACAAAATTAATCAGCACTGCCACAATCATGGTGCCCAAGAACAGGGCTCTCAGCACGTACCAGGTGCTTCCTTTGAAGTTGCATTTTACTCGCATTAAGAATCTCCACAGGAATACTAATTAGTATTCTAATAAATAAAGAGGCAGGAAAGGGAAAAACACCATTAAATAATCATAGTATAGAAGGAATAATGACTCAGGCCAAATAATTTTTTTTCTGGGATATTAATGGCTGGTTCTAGTTAATGGCCCTCGATTATACTTCAGACGATCAATTCTCAAAGCCGTCATTAATCTCCAGGAAAACACTGAGTTTTGATCATTATTGCTTAATTACATGGAAAAACAGACAGATTGTTAATATTAATTTGCATCACACAACTGGTCAAGTGGGATGTTTGCCAAGACATCCAGAACACACTCTGCTGACACCATTCAACATGGATATAAGGAAGGGGAAGGGAGGGGGACAAGAATAGCCATTTATGGAGGCCATGTTGATTGGCATTGTGAAATAGAAATACCCTATTGAATTTTGTTCCTCTGCATGAATAGCAAAGTGTGAGGATTTTTTAAGCAAACAAAGCCAATTTGTACTTCCCAGACTAAAACACTGATTGATACACAGCTACCTGATGGGCTTCATACTTCTCTGAATTTTGCAGTTTTCAGCTCAGAAGAGACCAAAAATGGGTATTTTAGAATACAATGTACACAAAAATAGTATGAATTTTTATGCAGCTCTTTTTAAGTCACAGATTGATGGAACTAACAAATGAACATATGTGAAACTGGCATGAACTGGAAACCAGCTGATCTCTCCATCCATGAAAGTGAGCCATCTAAACGAAAACCATTAAAAGCTTCACGTACCAAAGTTTATTTTTAAAAGAAAACAACTCATAATGCAGCTTCAGCCCTAATGTATGCAATATGTTGCTGGTGACTGCATGTAGGATTTCCTCAAGCCACAACAGAGCTCAGTCAGTACAGAATGAGAGTCTCAATCTCAGGGTTGTGGGTTTGAGCCCCACGTTGGGTGAAATATTCCTTGGACTTGATGACACTCATGGTCCCTTCCAATTCTACAATTCTATGATTCTATGACTCTAAAGCATGCAGAGTCAAAAGGCACAGCTGAGTGGCAAAGCCTATGCTACAATGCATACAAAATGCTCCAAGGTTCAATCACAGGCACTTCCAGTTAAAAGATCTGAGGGTGGGTCTACACGGGGGGGGGGGGATGGACCCACTATAAATAAGTCAGAAATTAGTTTAAACAAAAAAAATTAAACCCCTATGGAAAATCATGTTTAAATATGTTCTGCTCACTGGCGTCATCTAGTGTTACATGTTTATAGTGCATTCAAATCATTGTTTCTTTACTAATGTAGCTGAGTCCTGAGTCAGAGAGCAAGGTTAGGAAGAATCCCTTTCTGAGGCCAGTAGCCAGTAGAAAATAGTAGGCTAGACCATTTATGAAGCTTCATATGTACAACTTATTTGAATCCTTGAAATGCACTACAACATCGGTGCTGTTTTTTAATTGTACTAATATTAAAAGGCCTAATTTCAGAAGCACATATGAATTGAATAATATGAACCCTGAAGGTTTGCATCAAATGTAATATTTATGCAAATCTAATGTGCTTGTGTTGCAGCTTTTCTATAACAGGCAAAGCAAGGTAATTTGTGAGACTAAATATTCTAGGTTTTTTTTAATAAAGGGAAACCGTTATGATCAGTTTATTAAAATCCCCCTTTGAAGCCAGTTTAGGAGAATCTATGGCAGAGCAAATGAATTACAGTGCATAGCAAGGAAAGAAGAGTGGCAATTTGGATAGCAGTGGCTTGGATAATGATACTTACTGAGAAAAAAAAGGCTGAAGTGCTGTACCCCATTATCGTAGAGTAAGTCCCACTGAACTCAGAAATGGAATGCTCCAAGGAGGGTGTAACCCTTTGCCTCACCATGTGGAGACCCCTGAAATATTCTGTACTTTGCTTTCTGAACAGGCTGTGCTCAGTTTGGAGTTGTGAATCACAAGAACATGCATGCTATCATTCTACAGGACTGAAGAAAAAGCATAGCATATGGTATTGTACACAGAACTCAGCTAATTGAGAATGGCAGCTCCTTAAATAAATAAAAATTGTCAAGACCCTAGCCTTTATTCAATATCTGCTTGAAAATGTGGACAAGCTGGCTAAAAGCTTCAGTTCCCCATATAGGTCCCTGCCTTCAGAGTTGCTAGAGGCAAACAGAGAGAGAGAGAACCTAGTTGTCACAATATTGATGCAACTTTCTTAGAATGGCCAGTGGAGTAAGTAGCAGGTCTGGCTGGTCTGGTGGGGCAATCCACCTTTCTGACATCAGCATTGCTGCACCTTACCTGGATAGCTCAGCATGGGATGGGGGGGGTGAGCTATTCTTAAGGGAAGTTTGCCTGTTACTTCTGGTTTTCTCGCTGCAAAATACATGCTACACTTCAGAGGAACTCCAGAGTTTCCTGGTACAGATCTGAAAAATCACAACACTGCACCATGGACTCTAAGAGGCAACATTTTCCTTGTCACATTCTAGATCTGCACCAATTAGGCCATTATAACCAGTTTGTGCTTCCAGGAGATAATCTTCTGGACCTGTTGTTCCCTGGTTTGCTGCAGTCCTTTGTTCACAATAATAAGAGAGTAGCCTTTTGCATTATTGATATCTCAGTCCTCCTCATTTTCTGAAGGACTGCATGCCTGTACACATCTCCTCCTTACACAGTAAGTTAAAAGCAAGTTGCATTCATTTAGCAAGGAGAAACAAAACAATGCATCTCTAGAGGGCTCAGCTCATTTAATTCAGGTCAGAAATACACGAGACTTTGAAATATGTGCGGATGATTTTTGTGACATGAAAAGTAATGAAAAAACTGACAAGATGGAATGAAAACCCCTCACTATTACAAGTTGGGCTGACAAGTCCTTGGGTCACATTGTCTAGCATGGCTGGGCTTTGAAGAAAGAGAAAACTTTTTGCCATTCTGAGGAAAGCCACTTTTTCTGGAATCTCAAACAAAATTCCACCCAGGAATTCCTTGTCAAAATTCCACCCTTGGTTTCCTTGTCATCATGACCTTGATCACGTATATTAGGCCCCCTCAAATATATACACTTTGGCAAAATGTCAAAACGTTTGTAACCTTTCTCTGGAGTTTGAACTGACAGATAAAGAACAGTATACATGGTTTGGGTAATGTAAAAAAAGAGAAGAAAAAACCACCAGCAACTATGCCATTATGAGCAGAAATAGCAAATAGAAGGGAATGAGTTTAAGGACAGGTGAGTGTGTTATTTTGGGGTGGGGGGATGTTACGGGAGGGGCGAGGGACACGTCAAGCTATGTCTGGGGTAGTTTGTCCAACTTTGGTCCCCACCTTTCACTCAGCTCTCACTTGTGGCTCCTAGAAGCTATCAGCATGTGACAGCAGCCACATCCCGGGAATGGCTACAACTGGCGGCTAAACTAGATGAGGGCAGCCAATGGGTCTCAACCATCAGTGAGTTCAGGACTTCCCCTACATGTGAAGACAGGCTCCAGCAGATTGAGTGGATGAGACCAATAGTGGGTCCAAGGGTCAAGAAGGCAGTTTCTGCACATGCTGTGGAGGGAAGTGAGGGGCAGGTGGGGCTCATCAACCTGAGAAAGTAGGCCATCTCTGGAAGATGAAGCCATATGAGCAAGTAAAAGAATATGTGTTTGATTGGTTGCATTATTTTCAGGTAAATAAAATGTTTTAAAAGGATTTTAAAGAGAGTGGATATGCAGAAAAGGAATCGAAATTTCAAATAGAGATAATAAACAATGATTATAAGATATTGTCAAAAATGTATAAAATGTTGTTGGAATGGTATACGATGGATGAGGAAGTAAAGTCGGTTATGATACACTGGGCCAGATATTTTGGATATAATATACAATTGGATGACTGGGAAAAAGTATGGAATGAAAATATAAAATTTACAGCATGTACTGCGTTAAAGGAAAATATCATGAAAATGGTATATAGATGGTATATCACACCGGTTAAGTTAGCAAAAATGTTTAAAACGTGTAATAAGTGTTGGAAATGTAAAGAAAAAGAAGGATCATTTTATCATATGTGGTGGGAATGTAAAAAGGTGAAGGGTTTCTGGGAGATGATATATAATGAGTTGAAAAAGATGTTGAAATATACATTTGTAAAGAAACCAGAAGCCTTTCTGTTAGGAATAACAGGAAGTGAGATAAACAGAAGGGACTATAAACTTTTTCAATACGCAGTAACGGCAGCGAGAATATTAATGGCCCAGAAATGGAAACAGGAGGAACTACCGACCCTTGAAGAGTGGAGAATGAAACCTATGGACTATGCAGAGTTGGACAAACTAACTGGGAAGATTAGATACCAACGGGATCACAAGTTCATCGATGACTGGGGAAAATTCACAGAATATCTGAAAAGTATATGTGATGAACAAACAACGCTAGTGGGATTTAAATAAGTTTTGTGAAAGTTAGAGGAGTATTGTTAAAAAGGAACAGGATAGCAAGGGTATACTAAAAGGCAATATTAAATTTAAAGAATGCATAAAGTTTGTAAAAAATATGGATGATTTGCAGAGAAGCTGATGGAAGTCTAAAAAGTTGAAATTTGTGAAAAAAAATGGATATGGTGAATTTGTGTAATGGAAAATTTAATTTAATAAAAATTATTATAAAAAAAAAGAGAAAGTAGGCCATCTCGGAGAATAAAAACTCATCCTAAACCATCTCGGTAGAAGATGAAGAAGCTAAGGAGTAAACCCTACACATATCCAAAGTGGAGTCCCTAAGATGGTTGGATGGCGCCTTGTACACCTCCTGGTACACCTCCACGAGAGCCAATATGGTGTAGTGGTTAAGAGCGGTAGACTTGTAATCTGGTGAACTGGGTTCGATTCCCTGCTCCTCCACATGCAGCTGCTGGGTGACCTTGGGCTAGTCACACTTCTTTGAAGTCTCTCAGCCCCACTCACCTCACAGAATGTTTGTTGTGGGGAAGGAAGGGAAAGGAGACTGTTAGCTGCTTTGAGACTCCTTTGGGTAGTGATAAAGCGGGATATCAAATCCAAACTCTTCTTCTTCTCTTCTTCTCCTTCTGGAAACTTCTGCAGCCAAGCTGGTGCCAAACGTATTGCTCTGCTTTCCTTTGGACCACATCAGTGAGGCCAAGAGAAGGGTCTTGTTATCTGGGCAGCCCAGGACCTCCATACATGCTGCCCAAGCTTGTGTCCTAAGGAGGTCAATTTGGTGCTGCTAACACAATGGTTTGACTTCACCCCAGAGATGCACTTCATTGTCTCTCGAGACAGGAGAATGCCAGCAAGTGCTAGGTCTCTATATATTGTTCTAGCATATTTCCAGCCTAACTAAAATAATATTTAATACTTGTCAGCTTCGTGCCTCCGCTGACAGAGAATCAGAATACTGACAGCCAGATCAGATTGGAATGCAGGGAGGAGGGAGAAAAGGCAGGCTCCAGCAGTAATTTGAGCTCTGATCAAAGAGTTCAAGGAAAGGAAGGAATGCAACCTGGCAACAGGCTCTGGATCAGAGACAGAGAGACCGGATGTGATCTCTGCAAAAAATTGTCGCGCTACAAGACTTCACGAGAGGCATGAAAAAGAGTGGAAGAAAAGGGGGTGGTTCCTTGTTGGAGGAGGGGGCGGAGCTCAGTCCGGGCAACTGCTAATTTGGAGGACGATGCTAGTGACTGAGCTCCTTAATGATTTGTGTGTTTGAGCAATAAATCTGAGATAATTACTGCCGGAGTTGTCTCGCATCTGTGGGAGAGACCCAAGCCATTACAATACTGTATGTAAAATAAACAGACATAAGACATTTTTAAAACACACACACACAAATACTAACACACAAGATTAAGATATGTACCAAGAAATAAGATACATATGCCCACCTGCGTCTCATTAGCAAAATCAAACATAAAAGCTGTATAGCACATGCTTAAGATGCTCATGCTTGGGTGACCTTCTGAGGGGAAGAGAGAGCCCCAAGAGTGGAGCAGTCCTCAAAATGGCTTCCTCAATGATCTGACCTGATTCACTGGTTACCCAAGTGGAATGGGGGCTGCTTTTCTGTAATCTGGTCCCACCACATCACTTCCATAATTTCTACTCTATTGCATTATTCCTTTCCACAATCTCCATTTTTAATAATGAATAGCTGCTGTGCTGATGATGATATATAGATAGATAGATATAGATATAGATATAGATATAGATATAGATATAGATGTATCTTGTTACTTATTTTACTTATTTTATTTGTTTATTGGTGTTACAACTACCCCTTGAAAGCCATGCTGAGAGTTCCCTGGGAACACAAGAATAGGGTATTTAAAAAACCTAAATAAGATAACAAATATTTTCATGCGAAGGAACTCATCTTGTTGCCAACTTATGTGAGAAGCAGCTCCAGTAATATATTAATTGTACCTCAGTATGCTTATGATCAGGCTTAGTATGAATAATTTACAAAGTACTTTTTAGCAAAGCAAGTATTTTAAATCCTGATCATTCTCCTTTGCACTAACACAGAACCTTTATTCTCAAAACAGCCCTATCTAGTAGGATCCAGCTGTCAAGTACATCTTTAGAGGGTGCATGTCCTTGTCAGATAAATTTGGTTCACATATAGTTCAGTTAGAGCTGTACTCTATAGTGCACTGGTTGTTACAAGAGAGAAAAATTACTAGCTATTGCTAAGCCAGTCAATGGAGATGATAGGTAAAGGTAAAGGTACCCCTGCCCGTACGGGCCAGTCGTGTCCAACTCTAGGGTTGTGTGCCCATCTCACTTAAGAGGCCGGGGGCCAGCGCTGTCCGGAAACACTTCCGGGTCACGTGACCAGCGTGACAAAGCTGCTCTGGCGAGCCAGCACCAGCGCAGCACACGGAAACACTGTTTCCTTCCCGCTATAAAGCGGTACCTATTTATCTATTTGCACTTAGGAATGCTTTCGAATTGCTAGGTGGGCAGGAGCTGGGACCGAAAGACGGGAGCTCACCCCACCGCAGGGATTCGAACTGCCAACCATGCGATCGGCAAGTCCTAGGCACTGAGGTTTTACCCACAGCGCCACCCGCGTCCCTATAATGGAGATGATATATTGTTGCTAATTTTATTATTGTATACATATCTGGTTTAGAGCATAGGACAGAGTATTTTTGTGACTATTGAATGTAATAACAAAGACATGCATCAGATCTCTGAGGAGTCAGTGTTTGCACAGTGGTGATTGCTCCAAGCATGTTAAACTTGGTTAGATTTGCATCTGCCCTCATGCACCTTTATACAAACATTCCCCAGAAAATTACTTAGGCTAGAATAAATCACTTTGAAAATAAGTGAATATTTTACAGTGGTGCCCCGCAAGACGAATGCCTCGCAAGACGGAAAACGCGCTAGACGAAAGGGTTTTCCGTTTTTGAGTTGCTTCGCAGGACGAATTTCCCTATGGGCTTGCTTCGCAAGACGAAAATGTCTTGCAAGTCTTGAGATTTTTTTTCGCTTTCGCCCCTTTATCTAATCTGCTAAGCCTTTAATAGCCTTTAATAGCCTTTTAGCAGCTAATCCGCTAAGCCTTTAAGCCTTTAATAGCCGCTAAACCGCTAATAGCGCTAATCCGTTAAGCCGCTAATAGGGTTGCTTCGCAAGACGAAAAAACCGCTAGACGAAGACTCTCGCGGAACGGATTAATTTCGTCTTGCGAGGCACCACTGTACTCACAAAGTTTCCAGATCTCTGTTGACAGTAAAATTAAGATGAAAAAAGCCTCCAAATAACTTAAAAAGAAAAGAACTTGGTTTCCTTACAAAAAAGGATGATGCAATCTTTGGGTTAGTAAAGTTGCAAGCTGTAAAATCTTCTTTTACAGAGATTCCTTTCACTTGCAGGGAGCCATGGCTACATGGCTTCTTGCTTATTATTATAATTTATTTATTTATTAACTCTGCCTTTTCCCCTGACTGGACTCAAGATGCCTTACATAGGAAGCACAAAGAGAGGAGAGACTGAGAAGAGGAAGCAGAGGCTGCTAAGAGCCTGCTAAACCATATACACTCTGGTAACTTGAGCTCAGGACTCAGGTTAACTCTTTCATGCATGTGAATCAGTAACTGTATATCACAACAGTCTGAATCAGGAGCTGTGCTTAGCATTGACTATGGTTCAGTTAGTGGAACATGCTTGAAGTTGGTTTGTTTCACTAAACCCTAGGTAACACTAACCACGGTTTGTCCAGGTTCAATAATTATAATTGCAAATGGAAGCGAAAGCTTCCAATCTCCTCCTTACTGATGTAGCAGAGGAGAGGTGTGGTGAAGCCAAATGTAAGGCCTGGGTCTCTCCCACACACACACGAGACGACTCTGGCAGTTAATTAATTAAGATTTATTGGTTCAACAAAAAGCCCCGGTTGGAGCTCCGCTAATTCAGTCTTTCTTCCACCGATGCCACGGTTGCCTGGACTGAGCTCCGCCCCCTTCTCCCCCAACAGGAAAACCCTCACCTCCTCTTCCTGTAATTTTCGCGCTTCTCGGCTAATCTCCTGAGTCTACGCAATCAGGGTGATTGCACTCTCTCTATTTCTGTGTCTGGGCCACTATCTGAGCCTTGCAGCTGAATTCCTGCTCTCTGTGTCTCTCCGTCTCTCTGTGTGTGTACAAAGGTTGAATTCCTGTGGCTAACTGCTTCTCCCCACCTCTTCCTCTGTGCCTGTTCTTTCGCTGCTTGTCAGAAAGTCCAGTTCTCTGACACCAAAGAGGTAAAAAATGGCCTTAAGTTTCAGTACTGGAGATATATTCAGAACCCACTAGCAACAAGTCTGTTATTAGAAAGCAAATAATGTAGCAATGAAAATGGGTTAAAGCAGATGCCTTTCTCCAGCATCTGTTCCTTCTCTTAATATATAAGAACTATTTAACCGTACACAGAACACAAAAATACATGAAAGTCTGTATACCCATTAAGTTTGCATCTACAGTAATTTATGACAGTACTGTGCTGCATAGAATTTGCTTATTTAAAATATTTATATACCTTGTCTACTAACCGAAGTTCTCAAAGTAGCTTACAAAATGCTTGAAATGCAATGGAACAGACAGCCAGGGTGCTAAGAGCTCTGGAGTCAAAACTCCAGGTATGTGTGTGAACAAGAGAGAAGATTTAGAACATTATTTGGAATAGGAGTAAAAAGAGTACGAATAGAAGAGGCAGTGTCATGGGACCTCGTATGTAAACTATAAAACAGTGTTCATCTAATCATTAATCATATGTTAACGACCAGGAATTGAACACTGGGTTAATGAAAGGTAACAATTTGTTGGGGGGGGGGTCAGACCAACCACGTTAATGAAGTTTTTGTTTTGCCATATTTTTCAGAAAATAAGTTTTCCATACTGTTTGGGGGAAGAATATTGCTTGGGTTTTATTGAATTTATTTTTCATGTTTCTCTGCCTCCAAAATCTTTTTCTCAAGTCATTTAGGAAAGGAGTTACTGTCTCCTTTTCCTCTGTTTAAGTAGCAGATTTATAATACAAAATGTCTCTGAAACAGGTCTGAGATTTGCAGAGGATTACTTTCCTGCTCAGATAATTATTGACCTTTAATCAATAGGCCTTCTTCACATTATAATTACACCTGAAAAATCTGTTCATAGCTGCCATTGAAGAAGAGATTAACTGCAGACACCTTGAGCTCTGACACAAAAGCACACCTTGATTTAGAGGGGCCAAAAGGTGAAAGCAGATACAGAGTAAGCATATAACACAGCAACCCAAAACCCTAATCTGCATGCTGTACAGGGTTTGGATGCAACAGAAGTGACCTTTTTTGTCTGGCTCTGTTCAGCTACATTGGTCAGTGGGCTCTGTGAAAGTCCTTGCTAGGCCCACTGAAAGTAGCCAGCAGAAATATCCAAAACAGTCATCTCTGGGGTGGGAAGGGGCAGAGTTAGACTGGATCCTAAAGCTGGCCCAGCTAATGGCAGTGGTCCCAATCTGGGCCTCTGTTCTGCACCAGCCTGGAGCAGGCATAGCAAAAGGCGGGGTATCTGTCATAGATGCTTTAGTTGAGATTCCAATGTTGCTGGGGGTTGAACTAGATGACCCTCAGGGTCTCTTCCAACTCTACCATTCTATGATTTTATGAAAACCCTACCTCTCTCTCTCTCACACACACACACACACACAGACACACCTTCTGCCTTGGCTGACACGAAATGTCAAACTCCTGATGCAGAGATACCTTCCACATTCCCTACAGATCTGCCACTGGGCAGATGGGAGTTAGGATTGTTCCCTAAAGAGTGGTGATCAGAGCTGATTACTCAAGCTGTAACCAGTCCTTGAATGGCCACAAATAAAACACTGTAAAATAAACCAAGAGTATATGCACTCATTTTTCTCTCTATTCCAGATTTACACCATTTACAAAATTAGATGGAACATTCTGGGCTCTACCATTTCAAACTACAGGTGGGAGATCATAACACTGATTATTTTGCAATGCAAAACCAAAAAACACCTCCCTGTATGTAGACACTAGCCCTCTCCCTGATAGTTTACTACAGTGGTGCCCCGCAAGACGAATGCCTCGCAAGATGAAAAACTCGCTAGACGAAAGGGTTTTGCGTTTTTTGAGTCGTTCCGCAAGACGAATTTCCCTATGGGCTTGCTTCGCAAGACGAAACGTCTTGCGAGTTCTTGCGAGTTTGTTTCCTTTTTCTTAAAGCCGCTAAGCCGCTAAGCCGTTAATAGCCGCTAAGCCGCTAAGCCGTTAATAGCCACTAAGCCGCTAAGCCGCTAATAGCCGTGCTTCGCAAGACAAAGAAACCGCAAGACGAAGAGACTCACGGAACAGATTAATTTCGTCTTGCGAGGCACCACTGTACTTTCAGGTTTACTATGGCTGGGCAATCAAAAATATGGCACACACCCCACTTGCAATTCAAAGTGTTACAATCCACAATCACGCGATCACTTAAATTTGCATACAGGTAGATGAACTGTATTTTATCCAACGAGAATTTACAATGAAAATCTGTCATTCTATGGACTGGTACCTTGACTAGTAAGGATAACCCACATGCAAAAAGCTCTCTGTGCAGGATATCCTTCCTTGCTGGATTGGATCCCACACAAAGGGAATGGGGTAAAAAGAAGCAAACCTATAGCCATGGTTGTGTCTTCATGAATCCATGTTGGTTTAGACCAATATGCCTTACAATGTGCTTGTGTATCCCCCCCCCCCGCTGTGTCATGCTGAACTAGGTCAAGGTAGTGTATATTATTACTGAGCTAACTTCAAAAGACCTTATAATACAACCCTCTCCCGATGGTATTGTGTATTCAAAATTAAATCAAAATCATCTTGCCCTGCTGCATTTGGGATCTTCCTGCTCATTCTACAGGGTGGGAATCCCAAACATTAGCCCTAAAGTCCTGTCCTGACAGCACTCCCTATGAGACCGTAACTTCAATCTGCCTCCCGCAGAATTTCAGTCTATATGTTTCACCTTTGTCCTAGTTTCTTTCACTCTGTAGCGGGGATGGAACAGAGATTCAATTTCAGTTCACATTTAAAGGCCAATCTACCAATTTGCACTTTCCAAAACGCAACTGTTCTTTGAAAGTCACACTTCTCTGAATTTTGCAATACAATTCTCCAGTGGGGCAATGTATGCAAAAAAGCATGCACTAGGATAAAGTGTGCCTAAAAATGCACACATTAGTAAAAACAACATACTAAATATATTCTATTAAGGGATACTGTTTTACAAGTATGTCTATATTAAGCTAAAATGCATGCAAAACTGTCTATATTAGGAGAGGTTCACACTAAAATGCTGATGAATTTCCAGCAAGTTTGTGCATCACTATCCTGTACTTACTTTGTTTACCCCATAGGTCTCCTGAAATGCCTTTTTGACAAATCTTAAAACCAATTCATCACTGGAAGGGGGAGGGAAACCGAAGCAGTTGTTTGCCTCACCTTTTGAAAGCATTGCCCTAGTTGAAAATGAATGGAATAGAAGAAAGTACTGCCAAAACAAAAGACTGTTGACATTTTAGAAAGGGATAGTTACACAGTTGTTCAAAAAATATAGCCTCAATTTGACCATAACAAAAAGAAGACCAAAAAAGCCCCATTATACTAAATCTTTCCCCATCTGGAAAGAACTCCACGTTGTGAAACCATCAAAAAAAAAATCCATCATACACATATCGACAAAATGCGGAGTAATATAAAACTAACAGAGGAACAAGAAACATAAGTGAACTATTGGGAAAGTGTTACATGCCAAAGGGTCAGAAGAAATCTTCAGGACATTTTGTGAAACATTTCTATTATCTTCCTAAGTCAGTAGCACACAGGAAACCATCAATAAATGTCCAGAGGTGTTTTATGGGGCAGCTGTCCTCAGCCCATTTCAATTTAAACCTGCTCACGAAAATAAAGTGAGTTTGGGTGTACGGCCACCTAGGAAAGGAGTTGCAAAAGTTTTCTCTCCTAAAGGAAAGAGTGTGGTAGAGCCCCATTGGATGAGACTTTCAAAGCAGCTACACATTCATACGGCATTACAAAGCACATGTCTTGGCCTCAGCAAATGCGGCCTTTGGGAGGAGGTTCCTTCACAGGGTTCGGAAACCATAGGACGTGCAGTACCCATCCCTAGTATGCAATATTTTTCCATATCCTGAAGGATCTTTTTTTTAAAAAAAATACACCTTACTCTTCCAGAGAACGCAGGAATATTCTAGCTGGGGCATGTCCCGTTTCAGAGAGTGCCAAGACATTGAAGCCACCTCTGTTTCTGTGCATATCAGCTCATGAACTACAGGCTCCATGGAAAGTGTGGGAGCGGTGCATGCAAAATGCTATGGAAAGAGTTAATATAGTATATAATCCGATGATGTCACCCCAGTAGGCAGTTTTTCAGTTAGGTCTGCTATCCAATGCAGAATATTAGTTAGTGAGTCTTACTGTGAGAGCAGCAGGAGTCTGTTTTATGCTGCTATGTGCCTCAGAAGTCGTCTGTAAAGTCTCATAAGTCTGTCAGTCTCATATATATATATACACACACATGTAAATGTTTTAGTATTCAAAGTACAGTAACGTGTTATGTTTAAACTCTAAACAGAGATTCTTGTGCAGCCTTTTCCAGGACAGAAAAAGAGAACTATGTTTTTTAAAGGGTCAAATGACCTGGGGCAGCTTTTGCACATATAAATACCACAGAAAGGACGTAGTTAGGGCTTCCTGGGACTGCCTTCTACCTTTCATTTCCAATTTTCTTACCTTTTGGGTGTGGGGCCTGTTACCAGGATGTTTTCCAGAGTTTAGCCATGCTGGCTGCCCAGCAGAGTGTTTCCTTTCCATTTCAGGAGGAGTCCCTCCTTGTTCCAGTATGGCCTGTGAATTGTGGAGACCTTCCCCTGCAGAGCGGAGTCAAGTTTCAAGAAGCCCTGTCCCCTTATTCCCCTCCTTCAGATACCCTCTGTAACTCTTACCAGAACAGGGCATTTACGGTAAATTCCTGTTTTCTGTCCCACAAGAAAAATAAGTCACTGGAGGGAAAAATCAAACTGTCATAAAAGCTCGGATGCAAGCAGTGCCAGGAGCTTGCTGCCTATTATCTAAGCACAGAGAGCCTGGGAGCTTAGGAGAAGCCCCAACCCGTAGTAATATATTTGCTGGGGACCCTGCCTGTCACCCAAGAAGAGGTACGTCCCAGGAGAAAAAAAGGGTGCCCCACCCTGGAGCAACTGAAGGAAGAGAGAAGTGACTACTGGCTAACTCCGGTTGCCATAGGAACTAGAGAATGCTGAGAGGCCAATCAGAAGCCACGTGTGGTGAGAAATAAGCAGCTGGCAGGTTTTTTCTCTTGTTGCCAGAGAGCCTTCTAAGCTTACATGACAGGAGAAAGGGGAGCTACCATGGGACGGTCAAGTAGGGCTATCTTCACATAGGCCCCAGCCAATGCCCCCTCATCATGGCCCCAGAACCCAAGTCTTTAGGCTTAGAGACCCCAAGCAGTAGCAGGTCCAAGGAGGTGATGGATTCGTTCCCCATCCCACCCCCAGTAGGCCTGCCAGCACCAGATTCTTCACTGAGACTCCTGAACCCTGAAGGTGTAACTTTGTCTACCAGCTTCTCAGAGAATCAAGAAAGTCTTGTGGAGCATCCACTGACCAGGTCCCTGTAACCCCCAATAACTACCATGGGATGGGGGGAATTCAGGTAAGCGTGCATTTAAAGCCAAATCTAATCAAATTAGCACTTTCTGGAACAATGTGTGGACACAGTTATCCTTTGATATTTGCACTTTTGTGACAGAGTTATCCAATGTTTGCAAAACTGCATACATCGGGGAAAGCGTGTATAAAAACAAAGGTATTAGTAAAAATCTCATACAAAAACGCATTGCTGTTGGGAAAATTGCTTTGCAAAAATGTGTACATTAGTCAAAACTGCATATAAAAATGTGTATGAAGAGAAATTCACACTAAAATGCTGTTGAGGAGTCAACATCAGCACCAAAGGACACTGACTCTTAAGTGACAGCGTAGCATCATGGGACACAGCAAGCCTAGGATGTACTCTGTGTCCTGTACCTCTTTCTCGGAGGTATAGCTTGGACTTCTTTTTATGAACACAGGTAAAGGGTGGGGTTATACAATGACTGTGCCTCATCCTCAACACACGATAAACCCTGCATCAGCACTAGTAATAGCAAGCTATGGGCACTGGCATATGCTGACCTTGGCACCTGGCCTAGCAACAGGCTACCTATAGCCACTAAGAAAGTGAGGAGGGGCAACAAACACCCCAGGTCACCCATCCCTGCTTCTATACATAAATCATCTTACCAGTTTCAGGGGGAAATACCAGGTTGTCTTTCTCCATCCAGATAGATATTCCTTTTTAGTCTGGGGAGGAACTCATAAGCAGCATTGTTTCTCTTTTCCTGTTGTTAGCATTTCACTCCCTTGTTTTATAGAACAGCATTCTTTTAAACGTTGGTTTGCAGGACAAATCTTTAATTAAAAGCTTGGAATAAAAGTGTGCACTTCCAAAGGTTGAGAAAATGCCCAGTCTTATAGACTGGCCCTTTTATTGCCTTTGAACACTTTTAGCTTTGAATTTTTGCAAATCATTCTAAAGTGTAAAATTGGGTTGCAATTATGAATATTGCTGCCGCTGCCGTTGCTGCTTGCTGCTGCTGCTGCTGCTGCTGTTTTGCTATGCAACTTGGATGGGATCACTTGTTTCTTTGATACTTAAGAAGCTACGGTTCGCAGAGTCAACACTTTCATCTCAGAAGAAAGGAAGCAGGTTCAATAGGCAACCAAAATAGCAGCAGCAGCAACTTAGTATAAAAGCTGGAAAGAAGGAAATGAGTAAACAAATCTGGCAAAACCCAATCACATTAACAAAAGCTACATACGGCAAAGAAAGTGAGGTCCCAATCTCTAATCCTCTCCCTGCATAGCTGTGCCTCCTTATTGTTCTACATACCCTGTATGTTGTATTCCAAACATTTGTATTTCCCTGAAGTGCTGATAAAGAAGAACAGGGACATTTAGAGTGAAAAGTCATATCCCTTTATCTCTATCCGAAATAAGAATGTGGTTGAGAACAAAGCAAGCTCTGCACTGTGCTTTCAGGCTTCAAACTTCTTGTCTTTCTTTAGTAGCTCTTTCCTAAGCTTTTTGTACAATACACTTGAAAGGCTTACCTTTCAAAGGATTGCCCCCGTAATATCCAGAGTACAGATCAGGGAGGTTTCGCAACAAGTCACAGCATCTGAGATCAAGCACTAGCATTTTCACCACCAATGTTGAATATGGCTTCCAAGTCACATGGGACATACCTTCCTAGATCTTACCAGTCAGCATAACAAAATTCAGCAGTCTGGGCCCATCACGCAAACTGTAAATGGTAACCCAACAAGAATCTTTGTGATTGCCCTGCTCCATTTTTCACTTGGGCAAATGAGGCAGCACCTGAAATTCTAAAGTAATGGCTCACCCCACAGCTTAGTTTTAACAGAGATGATTTTCAAAGTCTTTTCTGCTGAAAGGTTACTGCCATGTATTTTATCCTTCCAGGTAGCATTTATCTGGCAAAAGAGGAGCAAGATTGCTGTCACTTAGAAGTTGGTATCTAGACCACTATTGGCAAATAATAGTGACAGGAAGGTAACAGGAACACTCTATTTCCTTTCTTCTCACCTGTGTCAAGGCCAGTAATATTGGTATCTGCATGAATAGACACAAACTCAAATGACCATGAGTCCAGAGTTATAGCTTGACTTTCAATATATTACTCAATATTCATTGGAAACAAAGAGAGACAATCTGTGCTAAAAGCCAGGTTGGGTGAGTGATGAGAAAACAAAAAGAACCTCTAAGTTTACCTTTTTCTACTGCAACTTTCCCCAGCCTGGTGTCTAGGCATGGGAGAAAAATCTGATTCAGTTCACAATTAAAGGTAAATTTACCTAATTCACACGTTCTGATACAATACACAAACGGAAGCGCAGCCATCTTTTCAAACTGGCAGTTCTCCAGAGTTTGAAACATGGTTCTCAAGCCAAAAATGCATGTACAAAAAAATGCATATACTAGGGTGAAGTCTGCAAGAACATGCATATATTAGTGAAAATAACACACACAAATACATTTTATTAGGGAAATATGAGGCAAAATTGCATGCAAACTGAATTCACACTAAAATGCTGGTGAATTTTCAGGAGGACTTAAAAAAATACAAAGTAATGTGAAATGATGGACGACATTGGAGGCCCTGCCAGGCCTCTGAACACAACTTCCAGTAGAAACTGGAAGTCACGTCAGAGGTCTTGTGACACCTCAGACATAACCTCTGAGACCCTGTGAGACCAAGGAAGCACTGCCGTGCCACTGACACAACATGACGCCATGACGCCACATTATGTCACAGGCACCACTGGCCACCCATAACCTGGGACCCAAGTCAGTCCTTCTGTCTAGCCCTATATACAAAAAAACAGAAATGCACATCTCAAAGTACTTTCTTTCAAAAAAAAAATACATTTCTAAACTTATTTGATCCCAAAATGGACATTTTGGTACATTTTTAGCCAATAATTGCACTCCAAAATTTAGAGATGTACAAAATCTGAATAACTATGCATATCAGTCTAGAGAATGCAAATTGGGTTGGTTCGAGTTGGAATTTACAAAGATTGCATTCTACAAGTACCTCTGCTTCACTCTCAATACAATGACTGCTCTGTGTTCTGCTTCTACCATCGAAGGCAGAATGCCTCTGAATGCCAGTAGCTGGGAATCATGAATGGGGAGAGTGCCACTGCGTTCAGGTCCTGCCTGCAGGCTCCCCTTAGGCATCTGTCTGGTCACAGTGAGAACAGAATGCTAGACTACCTTGGCTTGTGGCATGATCTAGCAGGACTCTTCCTTTATTCCCTATAATTTAATCTGTTCACCACTGGCTCTGTGGCAATAGCAAAACATATTCATTAGAATTCCGAACATTGCCAAGGTCAATTTCCCCAATAGGTACTTCCAACAAAATGCTTGCTTCTTTCCCTCTAATAAGAAGGCAGGCAACTGGCTTCCAGGCACATCGAGGCAGGCCCCCCTGGCTGCTGTTCATTTTCTGTAATCATACATTGCTTCAGGTGCCACTTATTTCCATTCTCTGTGTTTCTGTTTATTTGAGCTCATCGTACTTGCTTAGCACAAGCCTGTCTGACATTGATCAATCATTCAGATCTTTTTCAGATTGACAATCTAATGTGTGTTTATCATTAAATTACCATTCTATTCGGGGGAGTTCTATTTGTGTTTTCTTCTTTCTTTTCTTTCTTTCTTTAATAAATTTGCAATGTATATTTCTGTTTTGTAATAAACTCCATATTCTTCTATTCTAAACTTTGGTCTGCCATCTTGTGGCTTATTCCCCCTTCCTTGCAGAATTTGCTCCGTGGCACACCATGACTCCTAGCTAAAGACAAAACATGTTCTTCCAGTACATGCATATTTCTCAACATATGTGGACAAAGATACACATTAGGAACATAAAACAAGATTAAACACCTTCACCACAGCACCACTTTCTTGAGCTGATTGTCCCTCCATCCTACATAGCAGCACTGAACAAAACAAGTGTGAGATGCAATCATAGATCTCAGTGTCTTGCCTATTTTAACTATGAATTCATTTCCTTCCACACAATGAAACTCTAGACATTTTAATTAACATCCACTGAGTTCTGCTTACAGCCCAATCTATTCCCACTTTCTCTCCCACTACTTCATTAATTCCAATACCTTTAACATCTTTATATGGGTGACCAAAGCCTCGTATTTGATTCAAAAAGCTGTGTTGCTTATTCTGCCATTTTAATGTGCCTATGTGCATTAATTATCCACATGTATTTAATGAACAATCAATATTTAGCTTCCTCCCCCAATATACTCCAAATATGTTATACTGCAGTGAAATTCTCATTGTTTTATGTAAATGCAGTAACCAAGGCAGAAGAGATTTTTAATATGTGGGGGTGTTAAATATATTGTATTTTAGTACTTTTATAAAATCTTACTTGCTTCCAAAATCATAAGAAGAGGCTGCTGGAAGAGGCCAATGGCCACTCTCCCTTCTTCCGGCATGCAGCATCAGCATGAAATCACAATGGTGCCTTAGTGTGACTGTGTTACTAAAGCAGACAGCAGCAGCAGTAGTAGTATGTAGGCACAACCTCTCTCTCTCTCTCTCTCTCTTTCTCTCTCTCACACACACACACACACACACACACACAGGCATATAGTTGGCTATATACAAGAGCATGTAAAACAGTTTCCAGTCCACAGGTATGGAGGTAGTTCTTAGGGACAAGTTCAACCAGCAATTTCACATTTGAATTCTTTGAGATCTCTCAAGTGGATGCCCTTCAGATCCAACAAATTTCCCTTTTCTATTTTGCCTATTAGGCCCAGAACTTTGTCTCTCATCACCACCAGTTCTTCAAACACCCTTCCAGCAAAAGTTAATTCAGACATAGGGACCTGCCCTATGTCTTCTGCTGTGAAGACAGATGCATAGAATTCATTCAGCTTCTGTTTCTCTTCCTTTAACAGACCTTTGATTCCTTTGACATCCAAGGGTCCAAATGCCTCCTTAACCAATTTTCCTATTAAACACTGAGGTGTATGGGGTGTTAGCAGAGAAGCAGTATCTCTGGTGGGGGACATGACATGCTGTTTCTGGGGCAGTTCCCCCACCATTTGTCCCCCCCTCCCTGCATTCAGCTCTCATCTGTGGCTCCTAGAAGCTGCCAGCATGCGACAGAGGCCATACCCCAGGAACGGCTTCTGCTAAACCAGGTGAGGTTAGCCGATGGGTCTCAACCCTCAGTGAGTTAGGGACTTCCCCTGCATGCAAAGACACACTTTGGTGGATTTAGCGGACGAGACCAATAGTGGGTCCACAGGTCAATAAAGCTGTTTCTGCATGTGCCGTAGAGGGAAGTGAGGGGCAGATGGAGCTTGTAAACCTGGGAAGGTAGCCCATCTATGAGAAGTAAAACTCTGATCCTAAACCTCTACAGCCTTGCAGTTACACTCATTCATGAGAAAGGCTTCAGGAGTAAACCCTGAGGAAAAATATGTACTCTGCTGCCTTGTGGGACATCTTTGGGAAGAAAAGGCTAAGAAATAAACCCAACACAAATCCAGAGCGACGTCCCTAAGATGGTTGGATGGCATCTTGTATGCCTCCTTCTGGCAACTCCTGCAGCCGAACTGGTGCCAAATGTATTGTTTTCCTTTCCTTTGGCCCACATCAGAAAGGGAGAGAGGGGAAGTCTTGTCGTCTGAGCAGCCCAGGACCTCCAATACACACTGCCCGGGCTTTTGTACAGGACAGGTCACTTCCAACAGCTTGACCTCACCCCCAAAGGCGCACTCCTCCATTGTTTTCCAAGACAGATGGATGCCAGCAGGTTATTACACACTGCTATTTGTTATTGATAAAAAGAATCTCACAATTCACTTAACGTTTTAAAGATAAATCAAACCCAGCATTCTCAATTTAAGCAAAAGCCTACTAGTAAATAAGAAAGCAGCAGCAAAGTGGTGATTTTCTCCCCCTTATTTCTAAAGGAGAAAAAATTCTTCTGAATTATGTGCTGCATCTCAAGACACCTGTGGAGGCTAACAATATATATTCCTTCAATTTAAGAATCTCACAATACTTGCTTGTTTTCTTGAAAAATTAAGTAAGCTATTGCTGAGCCAATTTCTCTTTTTCGCTCTTTTCCATTACGCTTTCAAAAGCTATGTTACCCTTCAGCTATTATTTTTGCAATTATAATCAGAACCATGGACAAGTCCATGACAGCAATTCATTCAGAAGCATCCAGGCATTTGGAGTGCTATATTTAATGTTGCAGCTTTTAAACTTTCCAGGCATTGCAACCAACTTTTATTTTTTACACTATATTTATGGGCTTAAGCTGCAACGCTAACGACGTTTACACAGAAGCAACTCCCATTGAATTCAGTGGTGCTTACTCCCAGGTAAGTGGGGTTTGGATTGCAGCCTTACATACTTACCGAAAATTTGTAGCCTATGTTTCATCCATCATGGAACCTAAGGCAGTGTGTATGTGGTTCTGCATGGGTCATGCTACCCAGACACTGACCAGATCCAGAACTAATTAGCTTCAGCAAGGTGGAAGCCTGATGCACCTTCAGACCATACCCTAGCATGTTTCTCTTGTATTGTTGTTCTCTTTCTTCCCTTAATAAAGTGAATGGTTGATCAGCTGATTTGACCAAAGGTACGTGGGAGTGACCCATTTATGAATCCCCCAACCTACCAGTTGAAGGCGAATGTCTTAGAAAAAAATGACAGTTCTTATTAAGACTTGCCTCTCTCTAATTTTGTTAGACCCTGCTTTTTTCTGCCTCTTCACTCTGAGTGATATGAATGGTGCCACTGCTGAAATATTTAATCAAACTGCCATGTCTCCCTTCTCCAGTTGTTTTCCCCATTACAAATGGCTATTCTTTGCCTTCTAAAGTTCAAAGTACACTTCATTGCTTCTCATTGATCACTCAAACTGGAGAAAATAAATCATTATTGAGCTCTCAGTAAATCACTCAGAGTGTACAAGAGGGCTTGAGGAATTTACAGTGCAAAATTGCAAAACAGAGAAATAGATTTCGGAAGTAAATTCTGTTCCTAGTCTGGGACCATGGAGAAAGGAAAGCTCAGGATAGGAGGGCAAGCACAGAAGAATGTCTGAGACTTTCATGCCAGTATTAGAGACTAAAAGCATATTTGATAAGATATGGGGTGTGTGGAAATTACATCCTTTTTCTGGGTCAGTTAAACCAAGACTGCTGTAGGTCATTATTTGCTCATTCTGGAACCAAATATTTAAATGTTTCCATACATAATTTTTGGTCTGGTTCAAGTGTGGGGAACCTTTGGCCCTCCAGATGTTGCTGAACTGCAACTCATCAGCACACACACAATGTTGCAGTTTTGTAGTTCTTATTTAAGAATTAGAAAGGCAATCACAACTGAGCCACCAAACAGAAGATGCACCTATTTTAAGGTGAGATATGAGATATGAAAGAACCTCAATTAACACCCCCAATTCTGGGGTTTTTCAGCTTTGCCCCCCTTGGGGGAAATCCAAAAAGAAGAACCAGTGAATTGTTTTGTGGAGTTAAGGATGAGGCACTAGTTCACTAATCCTCCTTTAATATGACCCTCCAGGAGAACTAACCAGATCTCTCTTCAGACTACTATAGCTCTGCTGTAGTATATATGACACTTGGACAATTCATTTCAGTGGGATCAACGTGAGGTTCTTTCATATCTCATACCCCATCAGAACATAAAAGTTGCTTTATTTGCCCAGTACTGCCTATTATGACTGGCAGCAGATCTCCAGCATTTCAATCATAGGTATTTCTCATCACCTGCTACCTGAGCTTCTCATAACTGCAGATGCCAGGCTCTACCACTGAGCCTCTATGCAACTCACATACACCACAGAGATTCTGACACACATCCAAACCTCACATTAGACACAGTCAACTTAATATGATAATTTAATTTCAAACCAAAAGAAGTCTTCTTTTTGACGTTTCAAATGCCACTTTTCTAATTACAAAACTACTCTGCACAAAATGATGCTGTCTGAGGCAAGCCTAAATCAAATGTATCACTTCTGTGAAGCCGTAAGTATGCAGAAAAATTCATTAAAGGATAGAAACCTTTTATATTTCCTAATGATGGGGAGAAAACACCACAAGGCTGTAGCAAGAGAACATACATTTTCTTCTCTCTCCTTTATTGAGCAACTCTGCCTGGAATAATAGCTAGAAGTGCTCCGGTGACCCAGCCCATTCTGTATTACTGCTCACTTCAATTACTTGTTCCATGTGTCTTCATCTTACAACCCATTAATTCATAAGTTCTCAGTTTCACTGAAAAAGTCTCAGCTAACAAATGGACTCCTAGTTCCGTGGAAGTCAATTCCACACCAAAATGATTCTCAATTCCTTATATGTAGCATTTCTGCATTGTCCCCTCAAGCTGAAACAGTATTTGGGGGCGGGGGGAGAAGGACCAGCTGCTCCTCAGTTCTCCAAAAATCAACAAGTGATACTTACATAAACTGGACAAGATCATGTGTCATCTGGCCACCTGCAGACACTAGGAAAGTTAGGGTGTGATCAAAATATTCTCATGCAATTTCATTAAAGGCCATTGTTCTACATAAGGTGATTCATTCGTTGGTAACCTCAAGACTTGACTGTTGCAATGAGCTCTATCTGCATCCAACCCTTGGGCCTAGTCCAGAAACACCAAATGATACAAAATGCTGCAGGCTAGATTGTTGGCAGGGCAGAAAACTACTTGTATGTAACTTCAGTGTTTAAAAACTTGTACTGGCTGTCCATATGTTACATGGGCAAGTTGAAGGTTCTAGTATTAACTTAAACATCCCTTAACAACTTGGGTCCACGATACCATAAGGACTGTCTGATTTTTCATATCTCTGCCTGGACATTGAGAAGTCTCTGTTTTAAATAGCCTTTTCAAATCTCCTTTTTGTTTTACATTATTCTCCATGGGTCTCTGATGCTTTCTCTCCTTAAGCCAGGGCTGCTAACCCTTCAGTGCTGTTCGTCCATTAGAGAAACGACTGACAGGCAAAAAGCAAGAATGGCACAGAGAGGGAATGGTTACCAACAGAAACCAGAGGGCAACAATCCCATATCCCAGAGAGCTCTGATGGATCATGGTGCCCTCCTGCTGCTTTTAACAGAAAAACAGATGTCAGGAGATCCGCAGTGTGAATATTGGCCTCAAGTAGCTACCCACTTGAATACTGTAGCTTAGAAATAATTAAAATCACACCATACACAGTCTTCAGTGATAAGATAGCTAAAGATGTCAGTCAAATGGAAATGTTTGGGTTGTAACTCGTTGAAGACTTCAGAATTCAACACTTATCCCAACTTCATGACTATGTCGGAGAAGGATCATCACTCTACTGAAAGTACAGCATATGCTTTGTGCTCAGAACATCTCAGATTCAGTCCCTGCCTTCTCCAGGTAGGGATAAGAAAGACCCCTGCCTGAAGCCCTAAGGGGCCAGAGTGTTGGCTGCTGCACTAGATTGGTTCATCTAGTTTAGATTGATTTTAGGGCAGCTTCCTGTGCAATAAAGAAAACAGAACATGATGAGAGTAGTCATAAATCTCCCTGCATAACTATGGTATAGACTAATGATCTGACTCAGTATAAAGCAATATCTGATGCTCCTAAGCTTTGCTCAAATGCAAAGAAGAAAGTGATAGCAGTAGGAATATTATCAAAGTGCAGGTCTGTCATTGTTTGCACATCTTGTTGTCATGTCTAGATCTCATCATAGTGTTAAACTTACATGAGAAATATTGGGGAAAGTACAGGTTCACTCTCATCCCATGATGATTGCTTAGCTTTGATGAAGCAATATATGATAACTAGACATTGCAGAGTGTAATGAAGCTACTGCCTTGAACGGTTCAGCTGAGTTTTTTCATCGTTTCCATGTGGAGACAAATTCTAAAACTATCTTGCATGTCATCAATGCTACAGAGACGGTTCCCCTCCCCCCCCCAGATGCAGATGTTTTAGTGCTTTCTGCAAGACTGACCAAAACTGCTGTAAGATTTTTTTCTTTCTTATTGCCGCTAGTAAATCAAAACATTTCCTATTCCTCAGAGGTATGTTCCTACTACTCAATTCACAAAAAGCTACTGTGCTCCCAGATTTCCATGCTTTTTCATTATAATGAACCACCTGTATGTAAGACATATGATATACCTATACATAAAAATCACTTTGGGATGCCTCAAAGGAAGTTAGCTTTAGGCACCAGGCAAAAACATTCCTTTAAGCAGGCCTTTGGCTGACTGACAGCTGATGCACTTTTAAATGTGTTGTGGAAGTCCGCTCACCTCTCTTGGTGTGGTGGCATTGCTGGACAGAAGGGGTTTCACTGGGGCCCCAACTGTGAAATTCAAATGGCAGTGCCCTTCTTGATAGGTAGAGGGAGTATGTGCCCCCACCGCCTATCAGGAGCTGGATCTTAGCCTGCACCCTGCATTGGCCAATGGGGATGCAGACTGGAACGTGGGCGGAGCCAGTGGAGCCGACGGTGGGTTTCCCTTTGATCTGCCCCCTGCCCATTTAAGCAGCCCACAGCCTGCTTGTTCCTGCACCAGGTTTTCCCCCATCCCACCCACCCATGGTTTACACTGATAGACAATGACTTTGCTGTGGCTACAGTGTCTGCCGTTCTTTATGGGGCCGGGTAGGAATTTGCCCACCAGGATAACTGGCTCTTACACGGTGGTTTTGCCTACTTCATAGCAATTCATCACAACTGGTTGAGCATTGGGGCAATCCCTTGTTTTGGATGGAGGGGAGGTTGTAGTCCCTGCCTGCCTCTCCAAAAGCTGGGGTATTCCGTTAAAGAGATCTGGGGGGAGTGGCCGTGTCCGCATGCCCAGGGGGGCCAGAGCCAAAGGCATTCCCCTAGAAGAAGGTCCCTGCAATGTAGGTCTTAGGAATCCCCACCTGGATTGACCACGTGTCACTTCCAGCAGGTGGGCCGGAAGTATTTAGATTGCCCCATGCTCAAGCCAAACCTCTTTCATCTGTATTCAGTACAAAACCCAGTCTTATTGGTCTCTTATTTATATGGGTTGGGGTATGGGAAGTCTGATGCCTTGTCCTGCAAGGGAGGGATTATTGGGTTGTCTTTGTTCTTATTTTTATTATGTATTTTGTGTTTTTTATATTGTAATTTTATGTTGTGAACTGCCCTGAGATCTAGGAGTATATGGTGGTATACAAATGTAATAATAAATAATAAATAATATTCATAGATAAATATAATAGCAGCAGCATTGTAGATGTATTTCAAGCATTGGGCTTTGTACATATTTCTTGAACATATACTTATATAATTGCTCTTGCTCAATTATATTTGATACCATTACATTTGTGAATGAAAAGATACCTAACTTGATCTAGTTCCGATTGTCATGATGTCCAGTAACCAAAAGTACTGCGTCTTTGAAGACCTCCAGCTCCCCAACGTCCCCCCCCTTCTGAAGGGAATGACGCCATTGAAACTCTGGTTCTGTTGATTATTTTTAATCAAATGACACCTCCCTTGTCTATCAAAAGTTGCCCATGGAATTATATATGTACCCAATAGTGACATCTTCAACAACAACAAAATCCTGTCTAGTCTTCAGGGTTGTTCTACAGTGGAAGTCAGTTTAGGGGCAGAATACAACAAAAACGTGTTTTAACAACAGGAACAACAACGTAGAACAAGATGCTACACATTACTAAGACTGATGCCTGTGGTTATTTACTTCCAGAATTAGCCTGTAGGCATATGTATTTGAAACTTAGCAAAGGAACACTATACACAGGTTTTATACTAGTTTAACAATAATAGCTTCCCCTAATCCAGGGTTCACCAACCACTTATGGGCATATTTGCAAAAGGGAGAGATTGTCATGAGAAGCACACACCACAAGGAAGCACACATTGAAACCTCTTCTATTGGCTATAACAGAATGCTACTTTCAAGCCTAATTTCAGTGGGGAAAGCAGAATGGACCCTGTGGGCACCATGGAAATCCACCATAGACACATTTGGACCCACAGGCACCATGCTGACCCCTGCCACAAATAATCCTGGTATCCTAGTTTGTTTCCCTAGCACCCCTCAGAGTTTTCCAGATCTTCTGGCAGAACTACAGGCCATAGAGCTCCCCCTGGAGACCAGACTCCTCCAGCATATCAACCATCCTGTGCAGTTTTGGGCAATAGTTGGGAAATTAGAAAATTGGCTTGGACTAGCTCTTCCTTTTTCTTTACTCTAATTCAGAAAGCCAGAGAGTGAAAGGAACAGTGGACGGCTAATTTGCTTAAAGCCTGCTGTTCTGCAATATCCCTTTTCAAGCAAAAGCTGGGAAATAGCATTTGACATCCAGAAGCAGCTTGTATCAATTGAGATTGGTAAGAGCAAAATGTGCGAAAATAACAAACCATGTGAAATCAAACACAATTGAATCCCTGCTTCCAACCCCATCTCCTGCTTCCACCCAGCCAAGGAAGGCAAATTTTGGATAGTTAATTCTTTATTGACAAATGCACACACTTACAGCTGCTCCTAAGCTGCAACCAAAGCACACACACACTCCTAGAGGTCTCTTTGTTGTTGTTTAGTCGTTTAGTCATGTCCGACTCTTCGTGACCCCATGGACCAGAGCACGCCAGGCACTCCTGTCTTCCACTGCCTCCCACAGCTTGGTCAAACTCATGTTCGTAGCTTCGAGAACACTGTCCAACCATCTCGTCCTCTGTCATCCCCTCCTCCTTGTGCCCTCCATCTTTCCCAACATCATGGTCTTTTCCAGGGAGTCTTCTCTTCTCATGAGGTAGCCAAAGTATTGGAGCCTCAGCTTCAGGATCTGTCCTTCCAGTGAGCACTCAGTGAGCACCATTTCCTTAAGAATGGATAGGTTTGATCTTCTTGCAGTCCATGGGACTCTCAAGAGTCTCCTCCAGCACCATAATTCAAAAGCATCAATTCTTTGGTGATCAGCCTTCTGAGTCGAGCTCTCACTTCCATACATCACTACTGGGAAAACCATAGCTTTAACTATACAGTGGTGCCTCGCAAGACGAAAAGAATCCGTTCTGCGAGTCTCTTCGTCTTGCGGTTTTTTCATCTTGCGAAGCAAGCCCATTAGCGGTTTAGCGGATTAGCGCTATTAGCGGCTTAGCGGGCTTAGCGGATCAGCTGATAAGCGGCTTAGTGGCTTAACGGATCAGCTGTTAAGCGGCTTAGCGGATCAGCTGATAAGCGGCTTAGTGGCTTAACGGATCAGCTGTTAAGCGGCTTAGCTGATCAGCTGATAAGCGGCTTAGTGGCTTAATGGATCAGCTGTTAAGCGCCTTAGTGGATCAGCTGATAAGCGGCTTAGCGGCTTAGCGGATCAGCTGATAAGCGGCTTAGCGGCTTGGGGAAAAGGGGGGGGGGAGGAAAAAAATCCCGCAGGAACTCGCAAGACATTTTCGTCTTGCGAAGCAAGCCCATAGGAAATTCGTTTTGCGAAGCACCTCCAAAACGGAAAACCCTTTCGTCTAGCCGGTTTTCCGTCTTGTGAGGCATTCGTCTTGCGGGGCACCACTGTACAGACCTTTGCCGGCAAGATGATGTCTCTGCTTTTTAAGATGCTGTCTAGGTTTGTCATTGCTTTTCTCCCAAGAAGCAGGCGTCTTTTAATTTCGTGGCTGCTGTCACCATCTGCAGTGATCATGGAGCCCAAGAAAGTAAAATCTCTCACTGCCTCCATTTCTTCCCCTTCTATTTGCCAGGAGGCGATGGGACCAGTGGCCATGATCTTAGTGATCCATGAAGGAGAGAGTTCTCTTAGCTGGCCTTAACTTTTCCAGGTTCATGCCCCATGGAACAGCTGAAGCAACAGTGGCACAATGCCCCCCTCTCAGGCTTACGTACCCTCATCTGTCAGAGAGCACACATGCAACCTGAGACTTCTCCTGCTTGGAAAATGTTGCTGCTCTTCCCCCTTAAGCCCCTCCCTGTTGGGTTGAAAATCACGACAGACGAGTGGCAGGTGTCATATGAGAGGCGTCTGCCAGGGCGAGCCCCAGGAACTCTCTTTTATTGAATATTACAAACATTGCCACACCTCCCTTCACCTCCCAAATCTAGGAGACAGTGGGACAGGGGATGGCAAGGTTTCAGTCAGCCCACCACTCACCTGAACAGTCTCTTCCCCCACTTCTAACCTGTCTTGTGCTCCCACCTTTGTCTCTGACTGCTCCAACCCTTCCTCTCCCCCCCCTCCTGTCTCATGGGTAGCACAAAACCCCATAAATCACTGCTCCCCTCTCCTGGGTCAGTATCCAGTCCCCTTGCCTCTGCCAGAGCACTGCCAGTCCCTGACACTCTATCTTGCTTTACCACACTTGCAATGGTTCTAGCTGGGAGAATAGTTTGGCTAAGTAAAAGGGAAAATTGGACTGTTGCCATTAATAAGTTGCCATTGCACTGTCGCAAATTATCAGGCTTCTAGCTGAGAAGATGATTCCCACAGACTGATGCAACAATAGCATTTTTTGGCTTTTAAGAAAAACTTTTCTATTGAAAGCATCCAAAATCAAAACAGAGTTCTGTCTGGAAAATGTTCACAAGAAGCCCTGTCTCTTCAAAGAGATGCTCTTGCATGCTTAAGTACATGTAACATCTAACAACAACAACAACAACAAAACACCACCAGCTCATCTTAAACATAAAAATAATCTATAAATTCTGACTTAAACCTATGTATTTACCGTATATAAGCAGTCCATATGTCCAAACAGATATCCAAACAAAACTGGTACATGTTCAAACATAGAAAAGGCAGTGAAAACTTCAGACTACCAAGCGGTGGATGATGTGATTTTTATCCTTCCAGCCTTTGAAGTATTTTTTGCAACCATAAGGGCTTAATAGGATCCACCTTTGTTGTCCATCTGTTAATCCCTCCATTGCAGGAATACAATTTAAAAATGTGTGAGCATCTGCAAATATCGAGTTTTCCAAAACAAAGGTAATATGAAAAATAATTTCTGACCAGAAGGAAAATGCAGCATAAGGAACACCCACATCAAATCCTTCAAAGAGGCATTATCAGCATTACATCATAGAACTGTAGAGTTCGAAGGGACCGTGAGGGTCATCTAATCCAGCCCCCTGCAATGTAGGAATATGTGCCAGCACCTATCTGTTCTAGTCAATTCCTTCCTATACAGGTGCTTATGTAACTAACTGCATGTTGCATTGATTGTGGGACTTGCAGCCACATCACAGGATTCTTTTTCAAAGATGCAATCGTAGATATAGGGGTGGGGCAGAGATTTCCACAGGGACCATAGTGTGGAGAGAGGGGAGGCTGGACCCTTATCTCTGTGTCTAATTGTTGACATGCTGCAATCAGCCTTATGGTAGGGTTGCCGTATTTCAAACAGTGAAAATCTGGACAGAAAAGAGTTGTTGAGCTTTTTTTTATGGAAAAGTGGCAAAAACGGCACTGCCGAGATGGTATGTCCAGGAAATTCCAGACATATGGCAAGCCTACCTTATGGGCAAAAGCTACTGCTGGCATGCCACCTCTGGCCAGCTAGTCCAATGGGGAAATGGTGCAACCCTATACATCCTCCTGTTCTATTGAGTACAATGGGGCTTCCTCCCAGGTACAGTGGTACCTCCGGTTACGAACTTACCGTAATTTGTTCTGAAGGTCTGTTCTTAACCTGAAACCATTCTTAACATGAGGCGTGCTTTCGCTAATGGGGCCTCCCACTGCCGCTGTGCCACGTGACTTCCGCTTGCATCCTGGGGCAAACTTTGCAACAAGGAGCATCTACTTCCAGGTTAGCTCATTACCCGAAAAGTTCGTAAGGAGGACAGTACATAACCCGAGGTTCCACTGTAAATGGGTTCAGGGTTCCAGCCTACAAATATAAGGAGGGAATTTGAAAATCACTTGCAGAAGCCATAATTTCAGGGTGAAATACTATACTATGCACTGCAGCGACGACAAAACCGCAATATTGTAACACTGCAGGAAAAGCATGACATCTTAGAGCACCTTCAGATTTATATTTTGAATTCCTGCTGTTAAACAGTCTATAGCACTTGATGAATTTGGATGGAGGAGGAGGAGGAGAGTTACCTCTCCATCTGCATTCATTGGCTACTAAGGGCTTCTCCAGATGACCTATTTATTGTGCACACATCCTGATTTCCTTACACAGAAGTTAGATTAAAGCTTTTCTTTATGAATCATTTGTTCCGATTTGTTTGTGTGGAGGCTCTATGACAGTGAGTATTCATCATGTATTCATCCTCATTTGCTTGCAGGGTATTTATACATCATCACATTAATCTTGTTCGTTCCACACTTCTCAATGCATTTCCCCATCACTTTCCTAAACGCAAAAAGTCCATTTGTTTTGTAAAGTTGATTTATTGTGCTGCAATTTCAGGGCACTTTAAATCCACCTTAATGATGAGAGCCTAAATTTCCCAGTTTGTGCTTGAATCCCTCTAACTAAACACCGACAGTCTGCAGGCACCCTAAGAAAGGGAGTTTAGTATTCTGGGGAGATGTGGATAATTACTGATCTGTGTACATAATTCCATGTCACTGCTGCTAATCTTATGTTTAATCTACACCAATAAAAAAAACCAGCATTTGCTACTGGCAACTCAATAACAAAAAGCCCCTATCATTTGCCAGCTCAACCCTACTGTTTGTCAAACCTATTTGGGGGGGGGATGGTGTCATTTACAGCACTTTTCATTTTGTGTTGCCCTAAACACTAGCAGCTGGATTGAGATTGCTTTTTCATAGTTCACAAGGGACATTTACAGCTGTCGGATCTAAGCAAGCCTTAACAACCATTTCTCAAAGCAAGATTTATTTGAGGGCTAGCATCTGGTGACAAACGCTGGCAGAATAGAAATATACCTTGTACACTGGGTGCCTTGACCTCCTCCCAGTTTATTAATGTTCATCTCTTCTCATAACTCAAAACTATAGCTCTAGCCAGTGCAGAATTCTTCCCATTGTGGACACACAGAGAAATTTGTACTCTCTTCCTTGGCCTCTTCACATGACAAAAATGCTTTCATTAAGAAGGAACATACCTGTTTTCAACAAATACATAAAATATTTTAATTTTTCTCCTCATAGAAATGGTATTGGACCAACTAGCTTAAACCTTTGCAAGATCTCGTTTAGACAGCCCGTGCGTAGAGCGATGGATTTGGAAATGCAAAAGAAAGAAAGCCTTATTATGTCTCTGTGGGTTGTCAGAGAATTCTATTGGAAATGGAAATGAGAGTGTAAATTGCTTCAATTTGCATGTTTGTCTGAGGTCAGGAATGGAAATTATGCAAGAGAATATGAGAGGTATCGCCATCATTGTTTTTCAGTCTGCAACTGTTATATAAATAATTACACTGTTTTCTGAATTGGTTTTGACATTGGCATGCACTGAAATTAACCACATAATTAATTACATTAGTTCCGTGGATACCAAGACAAATAACATAGGTGTTAACAGAAACTGAAATGTGGAAGAATGGAAACCATGCGACAAACACAAGATGGAGTGGAAATTGCTGCTGCCTTTCACCTGTCCACCTGACTGGGGTGGTGTTCGTAGAATGAGGAGGCAGAAGTGAAGAGTACAGGAAATGAGACCTTGTTTACATTGCTGTCCACTATGGCAGGAAGCAGCTAGGAGGATTACACAAAAGGACAATGTTTCAGATTTCACAATTTGGATTTTTCTGATAAAATTTGGCCTTTAATTCTGAAATGCAGGATTGAAATTTAAACCCAAGTTCAAAATGTGATATTCAATTGTTTTGAGGCAGTGTGTGTGTGTGTCACTTTTTAAAGAAAAGCTTTCCTTATTTTTCATTGGTTTTTAAACAAATACAATATTTTCCTAATTAGCTGATGGATGAAAGTTAGTTGCTTGTCAAGTGCACATATTGGCAACTATCCCATCTGCTGCTCTAGGCAAGATGAACAGCAACAGATATAACCAAGGAAGGAAAGTGATCAGTCAGACACGCATCTTCTTCCCAAAGGAAGGCAGGCGTGGGGCAGGTAAGCACTAAGTCTGTGCGGACAACCAAAGTAAGGGAAGCCTCAGGGTTCTGTCCTTCAAAAGGGGCCTGGTTTGCATTAAGACACTCATTACATGCATTCTCACCTTCAATTTTACTGCTATACACAATGCACTTGGGCTTCATCGCTGTGACTGTTAAATGTGCATGAGTGCAACTGATTTCAGTAAAACATCTGACCTTAAAAGTGAATGCTATACCTTTGTTTTCCTCACTTACTCCTCTTTAGGCATAAGCTAAAGCTATCTCTAGGTAATAACACCAAATAGGTTGTGAGTCTATCAGAATATTTATTTTGTGTGCAACAAAGGGCTTTCATCTTACATTTGAGAGCCGTGGCAGTGCTCCTTCTTCCTGCGATCCTGGGATAATACAAGATGCCACAGGGTGTATAGAAAGAGTCCACACTGCAGATCTTCCCCATGCTAACTTCATCCCTCAGAAACTTGAAGTGGCATTGGCAGTATGAATTTGTCCAATGTGCCCCACGGATTCTAGTGCCATCATGATGATGCCAACGTAATATGACATTCAAAGATCACCTCTTAACTCAAACTGCAAGGGCTAAGTTAGTGTTGATGCACTTTATTGTTTAATGTATCTGACTGGTTTTTATTTTAGTTCTGACTGATAAATGTACATCCTCTAAATGAAGTCATACATTAAAATAGCAAATGCTTTCATTTTTAACATTTGTGGAAATATGGTACATGAACGTGCTATTCCACACTTATTCTTAAATCTTGATACATCAACTGTTTTAAAATGCCTCCTCTCTCTTTATTTCCAGGTTGATCTTTCTTGTTTGATAAGCAGCCTCCTGTGTCTTTTCTGCTGGACCCTGAAAAAATGGTGGGATGTCAGGAAGAGTAATGCCTTAATTTATGGACCATTAATATTTATTGTGTGCCAGTCGCTGGCATTTTGAACACGGCAGCTGTAAAGAAGTTAATAAAAGTGGAGGGGTGGGAAGCTATATATTTAACAGAGCTGTGTAAAATAAATTTATAGTGAATAATTCATTTGATGAATTTATCACTTTCTACTGTTGACAAAATATCTGGATGGCAGTGCCCAGATCGGTAGATTTTATTATTCAGGATCTGCAAAGTAAAGTACTACAAATAATTTCTCTTTCATGTTGCTATTCAAGCAGATTCTGCTTTCCCCAACTTATTGGGGACATGAGCCATCCGCTCCTCAGACAAAGGGCAAAACAGAGGAATAAAATTATGATAAACTCCATCTTCTAGCTGGTCATTAAATCTTGCAATGGAATAAACTTATAATTAAGCAGTCCAGCATTAAGCAGCAAAAATACAAGGCAGAGAGATACTGCTATAGTAACCAGGTTACTCCTGGTTGGGAATGAAACCAGAAGGGAGGACATCAGATATCTCACCCCTCACAGACATACCTCCCTCTCCCTATCACACTTCAGATTGTGGCATCCAAAGTCTTCTCCCCAATCTCTTCAATTCCTCCTCTCTGCCGAAAAAGCCTGCACCGACACTCACACTGCCAAAAATCTAGAATCAAACACCACAAAGCCAGAGAGCTTTTAAAAAGAAATAAATCCAGATTGTGAACACAAGGACAGAAATTATTTATTTATAAAAGCATTTATATATTGCTGTATCATGCGTGTGTGTGTGTGTCTACAGGGCTTTTTTTCTAAAAAAAAAATGTTTAGGGGTACTCTCATTTTCCTACTCCTATTGAAATACTGCCCCTCAATGAGGCCAAACTTAGATTCACAAAATGTTTAGGGATATGCGTCCCCCCAGAAAAAAGCACTGTGTTTGTGTGTGTTACAGAGGTTTACAACAATATAAACACATTATCTAGTCTGCCCACCTGAAAGAGGCTACTCTCAGTAGCTCATTCCCAGGTCATTCTCTCACCATGGACCTGGCTCTAAGCAATCCATCGAGTGTACACCATCTCTTCCCTTCTTCACAGTGGGACAAGGATCCCACTCTCTTGCCAAGAAAAATAGGACAGTCCTGACCTTCCCTTTAATAGCATCTCCTTTGGGCCCCACCTGCAACAGACCCTGAAAATCCCTATCCTAGAAGTGGAAGGATGATCGACTCTGACTTCCCCCACCCTATGTGCTTCTGAGTAGACCAATGTTCTACTCAGATGTAAACCCACTAAAATCAATGAGTTGAATCTACTTTATAAGATTTCTGAAAGGCTTCAGTAAAACTTTCAGATGACTGCGCAAATGAAAACAAGAGTGCGATACCAGAATGAATAAATTATCCCCTACGGAAAACTAAAGTGCACCTTATGCTCAGCAGCAGTCAGTCACAGGCTTTAAACTTAGAAAATTAGAAAAATTAAATGATTAAATCAAAAGATAAAGCGTGACCACATGCTGAAGGATACAGTTAGAAGAAATGCAAATATTGAATACCACACCCAATTGTGTTTGTCTTTTTTAGGATTCCAGAGCATGTTTCGCGATAGCAGAGGGAGTTATGAAACGCTGAGGCTGAGGGATTTTTCAATCCAGGTGAAAAGCTGCAATTTAGTTTGCCTGGATTTCCATATGTTGACAGGTATGTACTGACAATTACACAAAGCGAATAACAGAATATGTGTCAAGATGTTCTAAAAATCCCCCAAATACTAATGAAAGCCTGCTTTGCATGTATTTACAAATAGACTTTTAATCATACTCCTAAGTACACAGAGAAAAACATGTGTTGTAGAGAATGGCAGGCCTGATGCTGTACCTATGGGATCATGAATCTCAAAGAAAGTAACAAACTCAGTAGCGTGAGCAGCTGTCATTTAGCTTTTCTAGTCATTTAACTAGGCAATGAATGCACAAATCAGGATTGCTGATGTGAATTGCATTTTTAAAGGCAGATGCAATGCACTTTGAGTCTGTCACAACCTGGATGGTTGTCGCATTGATCATTAAAATGACTCTCCCGAATAGTTTCTCCCCAAAAGAGCCTGTTTGCTCCACCTTCAAAGGGACCTGCTTCAGAAATCCCTTTAAAAAAGAATAATCAAGGTACATTATGAGATGCAAAGAATATTTCTATAAAACAACCTAACCCAGGAGGTAGGTCTATGCTTGCCCTGTCCGGTCTTTAGATATTTATGCACTAGAGCCCTTTTGCTTACATACGGTTCCCATATTTCAAAAAGTGAAAATCCGGACACAAAAGTTGTTGACTTTTTGGGGGGAAAGTTGGTGAGCTTTTTGAAAAACAACAACAACGTGAGCTATTTTTAATTTAATTTAATTTCCGCAGGGCCTGTAAGACAGAGTTGTTCCGCCTGGCCTTTGGCTTGGAGACAATTTGATTCCCTCCCCCTTTCTTTTCTCTTTTTCCTTTCTCCTCCTCTGATGAGGCTGCATTTTAATATTTTAATCTTTCAATATTTTAATCTTGTATTTTAATCTTGTTTTTAAGTTGTATTCATTCAACTTGTTTTTATTATTGCTTGTTAGCCACCCTGAGCCCGGCCTTGGCTGGGGAGGGCGGGGTATAAATAAAAAAAAATATTATTATTATTAATGAAAATCTACAATTCTGACATGGACTGCCATATGTTCAGAGTTTCCCAGACATTTGAGCAATCTCTGCCTGGACACTGAATACCAGCTATGTCTGGGAAAGTCTGAACGAACGGCAACCCTAGCTTGCAAAAGGAGTTGGATAGATGGGATGGGAAACTTGTTCTATTTATCAGCTTAAGTTTTTGAAGGGTTTTTTTTTTTAGTTTATTAGGTCTGTATGCACATTTTTAAGCATACTTTGAGGGAGAAGAGCTACTGCCTGGCATGGAGAAGGTCCCCAACTCTCCAGGTCGGGGTCAGAATGCTCCCTGTCCGAAACCCTACACAGCTACTACCAAACAGTGTAGACAATACTGAACTAAATGAGCCCCTGTTCCAACTCTACCTGAACAACTATGGAAAGGTAGGATAGTTCTTAATAAAAGCTATGCATATTTTCAGTTCTATAAGAATTCAATTGGCACATTTCTTCCCTTTAATTTCTGAAGAAAAGTTATAGATTACATACACACTTTAGATACTGAACTGGAATGATGTCTACAGGTATACCTAGCTCAGTTCACTGAAGCAAATGTGAAAAATGCAGGAAAGTGTGACTGGCAGTTCAGAAAAACCAAAAATTCTGAGAAATGTAAAAAGCAAACAAAACTGGGACTGGTGTTTCAGGGAAACGGACAATTCAGAAAAAGGTGAAAACAGGAAACAACTGTGACCGGAGGGTCAGGAATACCCAAAATTCCACAAAATGGGGGAAAGGCACAAAACTATTATCAGTGGATTGGGAAGATTGAAAATTCAAAGAACATCTGAGAAGCAAACAAAACCATGGAAAACAGGTCAGGAAAACGGAAAATTCCAAAATATGTGAAAAATGAACAAAATGGTGGGGTAAGAAAAAGCGAAATTCCAAAAGAAAGAAAGAAAGAAAGAAAGAAAGAAAGAAAGAAAGAAAGAAAACCTTGACCTGCAGGTCACAAAAACTGAAAATTCTGGCAAAACTGAGAGCAAACCAAACCATGACCAGAGGATCAGGAAAATGGAAAATTCCTGAAAACTGAAAAGTGAGGTCAGGAACCTCTCTCCCATTAACCCAGACTATTGACGATACTGATTGGGCTGAAGGATGTTGGAGTTCAGCAACATCTAGAGGGCTAAACATCTCCTATTGCTGCTGTACATCTTTAGAAATGAGTACAAGAAAATGTCTTCGTGCTGGCAAAGGGGATCAGAGTTTTATTGAGCCTCTGATGCGTCTGATGGATACACAGCTCACATATTCAGAGGCTGCATTTTGCCTGATGGGTTAAAATTCTGCAAGGTTGAGCTACCTATTCATTTGTCTGTAGACTTTTGTTTACAAAAAAACAGTGCCTTAAATTTTTTTGGATATTCACAATGAGATGAGGACTGAGGTACCAACTCCTCCTACATACTCATCAATCCCCAGAAAACTTCTGCTAACAGCCATTGCTACTCAATTGATGACCTTGAGGGAAATTGCTGCAATTTATCTTAAGGCTATTTCCTATGAAGCAAAAGTTGTTAAGGCTAAGATCTTGCTACAGATGTGGGAGAATAATATTCTGTCTTTTCAAAGCGTATGATCTGAAAATGCAAATACATTTCAAATGAACAGTTAATTAGATTCAGGGTGTCACTAACACAGAAATACAAGGTAGCCGACCTCTAGTCTATTATTACCAAATATGTTAAACTGAAAATAGTATTTCAATAAAATGTAAGATTCCTGAGGTCAGATGAAACAACAAAAGAAGCATAAATCAAAAGCATGCATTTCAAATGAACTGTGAATCTCTTACACTCTTCAGTAACATGTTTTGGGTAGATTTCAGGATGCGAAGTTGACTAGACTCCTTTACAACTAAAATGGTAAGAAATTCAGTGCAGAACTAACAATATGACAGGCAGTGGATAATCTGATCTAACAAAACTGTTCCATTTTGTCAAAACATTGCTCATTTGCAGTACAATCCTACACAGGTCTGCTAAGAAGTAACTGCAATGGGACTTGTTCCCAGACAACTATATAGAAGATGGCAACCATAATTATGGATGCAATACTATACACCAAACTAAGGTCCAGGGGGGCAGATGCGGCCCAACAGGCTCTTTAATCTGGCCCACGAACCTTGCAAACCCTGCCACCCACTCGGTCAGTCCCTGTGCTAAACTGGAGCGGCTCGAAGGCCTCACTGCGCGGGGACTGACTTCCGCGATGCTGGTGCGGCTTTGGATTGGCCGCAGGAAGCTCCTGCAGCCAATCCGAAGCCGCAGATGCCTCTGGGCGATGCCCCTTCCTTCCCACTGAGGCAGCCACATATGGCCATGAGCCAAGCGGGAGGAAGCAGCGGCGGGGAGGCTGCCTTCGCCGCCCAGGTCAGCGGCATGGGCTCTGTGCCCCACAGACCCCTGGCCAAGGCAGAGGACGACAATGACGCTGCCGAAGATGAGGCGGCGGTGGGGGTCTTTTCAGGAGGGGGGTGTTAGGATATAGTTCCGTTCCACCTTAAAAGGGAACAGGCTGTTGTGTGTCACATGCCTGTTTATTTCCAGCTCTCGCTTGGAACAGGGGGTGCTTTCAGGGGGTGCTTTCAGGAGAGGGTGGGTCCAGCCCCCCATAAGGTGTGAGGGACAGTGGATCGGCCCCTTTCTGAAACGTTTGCTGACCCCTGCTATATACCCTTCCCTGGGAGTCTTACTGAACTCAGTAGGACTGACTTCTGAGTAGAATGAAGTATATGAGTATCTTAGTTTCCATCCTGAAAAAAGCTAGGTTCAGGCCTGGTTAGATGCTAAGGTATTGTTGCACCGTAAGCCCCAAAGAAGCATTCCCCCAGAAGCAATATATATCTGTAAAATACAGAGATCGTTCAAGAAAAACATCACTGCCAAGCTATTTGTTCACTACTAAAAGCAATATTTGCAGAATCCTGGTTTCTTTATAAACTACTGGAGTAGATTTAGAGAGTTTACAATATCCAGAAAAAATTGTGCATTGTGAATGATTTTTTAACATTCTAAAAACAAATTGTGGCATTTTATTCAGCTGGAGGACTGGCATAAAGTGAGACTGTAAGGAACAGGAATGGGCAATACAGACACGGGCAGGCATGAATAAAGCAGTATCTATTTTAAATAAATAACTTTTTTGCTCACGGATGTTGTCACCAAACAAATTTTGTTCAAAAGGTGGGGAAGGGCCCCATGGCTACAAGAGATTTACAGGTAGAACTAGTAAATGCTTGAAGAACTATGTGGTTGTGGACCTATCCCCCCCCCCCCCAGCCTATGCATGCTTCCATGGAAGTACTGAGTTCAATGGGACTTGCTCCCAACACTGAACCTGCTGGGTCTCTGGCTCCATAGTTAAAGGAGTTTGAGGCTTTTCTACTGGGCTCCTGACATTTGAGTTTGAGGCCACAGCACCTACAGCTGATGGGCAGCAACCTGCAGAACAGCAAAACTGGAGCCACGACCCTCACAAGCATCTTCCCTTGAGCCCAAGAATCACCATCCAATGGCACAGGAAGCATGCCAAGCAGGAAGTCACATTGAGAGTCGCCTGCAACCCGGGATGCTGGTCCTTTAAGGGTCATCATCCTTCAAAGGGGCTTGGGGTGGACTGGAAGCAGAAGCTCACAAGGCTTCAGTTCACATCCAGTCTTCATTGGCTCACGTTGTTTGATAGGAGCTGTCCTTAGTGGTGTGACTAGTGGTCACTTTGCCTGCAACGCTGGTGTGCCTCATGAGTGCTAGTCATGGCAAAATTATTACATAGCTTTAGACTCTTGCAGGCTTAGCCAAGTATAAGAGAAGCATGAGCTGCCTCTCCTGCTATTTGCTTCACCAACCCATTTCCACATTCAGAATTTAAAACTGCTGACATGTAGCTGCATTTATTCTTCTGAAACAGCATGCAAACAACTTTGATTTGAAAACATGTCATGTATCACTCTGCTAGTGTAAATTGCCAAGGCTCTACAATTTACCATTCAACCAGAGTATAAAATTTGTCATAAAAAAGAGAGAGGAAGACCAGCTGTAAAAACATAGCATATCTCATCTATAAGTGGGAGCGTATGGCCCCTGCCCTGGTTGGCAATTATGAAAAGGTTGACATCAACAAAGCAATGTGAAATTATTAGCTAGTAGGTCACTAGGAACTGCTAAAGAAATAACATACTTTTCAACACAAGGACAAGAAAACCATGCAGTATGTTAAGAAAGGTAAGTCTTGCAGATCAGACACTAATTATTTTCAGAGGTAATGCTGTACCTAGGCTGTTACACAGCATGTCCACTGAATGAACTGCTTTACAGTTGACACCGTAGATTCGGGCTATCATTAGAAAAACACAGGCAGGCTCAACAAAACTTTATAATTACATTATTTTAGTCAATTATGCAAAAGCAATCTCTCCAACATTTTTTCTGTCTTTGCCTCTGGAACTGAGGCAGAGACAGAAAACCTTCCTGGGAATAGCAAAATGATGGACAAAGTGTTGGACAAGTGTTAAGACATTACTGACCCCCTAAAAAAAAAATCTAGAACTGATGTGTGACACAGTGACTCGGTTTGCATGTCACACTGAGCCAAACAAACCTTGGTTATAGTTTGCGGTTAGTCTGGATCAGGGCGGTCCAATTTTTCATAGCAAGTGGGCCGCAAGAGTACTTCGACACGGAACTTGTGGGCCACACTGCTGCAATGTGGAATGTTTTCATTCAGAATTCTAGATGCTCCATTCCATCCCCCCACTTCTCACTATCAATTTTTTCGGTTACCACCCCCCACTCTGACTGCAGATCAGCAATTCCATGGCCACTAAGCATGCTCAATCCTCATTAGGTTGTATGGGGGAGAGGGTCCCCCCCTCAAAGGGCTTTTGTTGTTTTCTTCTTGCACTTTTGCAAACTGTAGGACTTTCCGAAGTGTACCAATCAGTACCTCTCTCCTTTGTGTGGCTAGTGCCTAGATTTCAGCAACCAACAAAGTAAAACAAGCAGCACTGAGAGGGAAATCAGGTCCAGGTGACATTTTGGGTTGGTGAGGGGTAGGTATGGGTGAATCTCTCAATTCCAGTTTATTTTTGCAATCTTAAGTTCAGCTTCTCCAATTTCATTTTTTTAATTCACGAGAAACGTTGTATGCAATTTCCCCTAACATACATATTTTTCTACCAGTTTTTGTCTAGTTTACGCATTTTTGCAAGCAATTTTTCTGTGACGGGATGCAACTGCCCAGACAATTCTCCTTGCATCATATTTCTCTTCTGTGAATATTCTTTACAGCCAAAGCCTATTTTAAAACAACACTCAGCAAGCAAAGTTCCGATCAGCGTATTAGCATTGAAAAGCCTTGCCGCAAAGCTACCCAAAACAGTATGTACATACTGCATGAATGGGGGAAATAAGAAACCATTCTTACTTGCGGTCCCGAGATGCTGCTGTTTTCTCTCCAGGTGCTTAGACACTGCCCGTCCACTACCTGCTACATGTCCCTCGCTGGGCCTTGTCCCACGCTGTTCTATCTTTCTGCTTCTGCTCTTGGCTTTTATGTGTCCCTGCCTGACTGGGCATGGGAGCAATCAATACCCGATCAGCCAGTGAGGTACTGCCCACTAGGAGGGGCTCTGACCAGTTTAATTTGACTTTGGAGGGCAGTCCCACCCTGCAACCTGGCTGGCCAGGGGAATTCCTAAATGGCCGGCCCAAACCTGTATGCTCAGGGAATGGTGGTCAAACACAAGGGGCCACAATTGCCGCCCATCTGAGAAAGGGGTAAGCCATTCTGCACATATTATTTATAGCCAAAGCCTATTTAGAAACAACACTCACCCAGTATCCATTCCCTGTTCATATTTATTTCACCAGGCTGTCTGCTCATGGTGCTTTTCTGGAGCCCAGTCTAACAAGACTGTCAGAGTCCAGGGACAGCTTCATTTAGCTTGACAATTATACTGACAGTCCGTATGTACAAATGTCTCACTCCTGATGTTCCAGACAGGACCAGCTTCTCTGCGTTTCTTTCCCTTAGGGAGGGGGGGTGGAACTTGAAATAACCTTTAAAATAGAAACAAGTGATGCTAAATCCCTACCCCACATCCCTCAGCCGCTGACCTTAAAGTTTGAGTTCATTACTCACATCAAGTTTAAACTGCCATGGGTAGATCCTTTATTATTTCCAGAATTATAAAGGCAACTGGCAGGCTTGCTTTACAAGTCATTCATTTCATTAGGCAGCAAAAACTCACATTACTTACATGAGCAACCAGCTCCAAAAGGTTGCTTTTTCCTTTATGTATGCTGATGTACATTTAAACTATTTTAAGAGTACAATTCAATTTAATTTATCTGTTAAGTCATTTCATTTATCTGTTAAGTCCCACTGAATTCAGTGGGGCTCGCTTCTGAATAGGTGGGCATAGGGATGCTCTGAAAAAGATCAGAGTGCAAAGATTGTCTCCATTTAGCAAGACGATCTGCCATGAACCAGCCATTTAGGATCCTAATCAAACCAAAGATGTCAATTCTTGAGGCTATAGTGGCAGTGATTTTACAGCAGGTGTGTATGTAATAAAAACAGCCATGTCTTATTCTATAGGATGATTTTACACCACAAATTTACTTCACTGTATATGAGCAGCTACTGTGATGCCTTGGGAAGATAATAAATGACTGTCAATGCATTTTTTCCTATTCTGATTTAAAGGAGTGTGAATGGAGTTGTTTCTTATTACTAGTTTCAGCACTGGTGCTTCTATATTATCATAGAATAACTCAAGGTATGGGTTGGGAGGGTGGTTGGATTGTTGGGATTTGCTTTGGTTCAGCTATGATGTGGTTTATTTTGGTGGCTGCTTAGAAGCCTATGGTAGGGGAAAGGGGTAAAAGGGTCTCAGTTCGGGCTGTATTCTGGTTCAATAGGGCTGTGGGTTAAACCACAGAGCCTAGGACTTGCCGATCAGAAGGTCGGCAGTTCGAATCCCCGCAACGGGGTGAGCTCCTGTCGCTCGGTCCCTGCTCCTGCCAACCTAGCAGTTCAAAAGCACTAAATGCAAGTAGATAAATAGGTACCACTCCAGTGGGAAGGTAAACAGCGTTTCCGTGCGCTGCTCTGGTTTGCCAGAAGCGGCTTAGTCATGCTGGCCACATGACCCGAAGCTGTACGCCGGCTCCCTCGGCCAATAAAGCGAGATGAGCACCACAACCCCAGAGTCGGTCATGACTGGACCTAATGGTCAAGGGTCCCTTTACCTTTTACCACCATTAATTCTCTTTAGGTTTAGAAATGGAATTTTAGTGGTGGGTTCATGTTACACCTAAAGTTGAACTTAAATTCTTTTGTTGAGTAGCCAGCTATCACCAAACTCGATTGGTTTTTTACCCCTCTTTATAGGCCTTCCCACCCTTTTGCTACAGGGACAGGTGCACTCTGATTTAGCGCTGCCTAAAAATAGCTCGCTTGATTTCGGGAGGTCAGGCTAAAGGTTCTCTTTGTCTGATAGTGTTTTGCTAGACCATGATGCAGGAGGTACAGCGGTTTATCTTTGCTATGTGTTGCTTAAAGTTTTTCATTATTCTTTCATTGCTCCCTTGCGGTACTTATAAGGCTGGGTGGTGGTGTTTAATCTCATTTACTTTACTAACCTAGGTAAATGGTTTGGTTTAATGTATAGTTAGGTGGTTTTGTAGGGGTTTAGTCGGCTTATTTTGGGGCTCAAAAAAGTCGTGGTTGTGCGACATCCTCTAGTTGTAAGCTGGGTGCTTTAAATAAGCTACTTTTTGTTAGTCCAAGCACACCTTTTGGTACGCTTACCATGTTACAACTTACCTCCTCTGTTTTACTACTTTTAGTTTATAAAGGTTGAATTTGGTTGTTGAGGAGGGTGAGGGGTGGTGTGCGTGCATCCCAGAGCATTGTTAAAAGAGATACTCTTTATCTATTTTACTACTAAATTTGCCTTCATGCAGGGTTTCATAGTGCTTTTCGTGTTTTTTATAATTAAAAATGTAGCCAATCTCTTCCCTCACATTTGCTACACCTTGACCTGACGTGTTAGCAGTGGGGCTATTGTGTCTACTATTGTGCCCTTATGGGGTAGACTGTCGATGGCAGTATATAGGCTGATGTGGTGCTAGTGGGGGCTGGGTGGAACGGGGGGGGGGTATTGATTATAGGACGCTCTCCTCTAGGTCGATATGGGACACCCTTTGAGTTTCAAGTTTTTCACTTGTAGTTCTCTGGTGGAAAGCATTGTATTATGGCTCATCAATGGAAACCCAGCGAGATGGGCGGGGTCTAAATAAATAATATTATTATTGTTGTTATGAATGTAAGATTATGGAGGGTAGTGATTAGTGGATATTCATGAGTGTTTACAATAATGCATGAGATAGATATAACATTCTTAAATCAAATAAATAGGTTGATAATACGTAATTAATAGTCGTATGGTATATAATATGATGTACAATAAACAGTTGTGTATTATGTAAAATTTATAGATACCAGTTATTAGAGAATGAGCTCTGTTGAGACAAATTGGTGGGCCTTTTCCCATCTAGGATGTGGAACAATAGGCCAAGGGGAGCTTTCTGTTCGTTAAGTTTTGGCTGATTCTGGAAGCTGGAAACACAGAAGGCTGTTTTGCTCTATGCTAGGCCCAATGCTGTATAATGTCAGCATTGGCTATAAGAGCACACATCATTAATAGACTCTAACAGATCTTGCCTCCACACCAGGTTTCCAGGGAAGCCTCAAGGCATAGCTGGAAGGTACCCACAAATATCATTCAGACTGACACTGCAAACCTGTAATAACAGTAGCAGTGTGGAAGTACAGACTGTCTCCTCTAAAGAAGGAAGAAATGGCAGATTCCAAGAAGGGCAAGCAATATGATTTGGGTACAAAGAGCAGTTCTGTGGCTCATGAGTGATGTGCCGGTGATGCCAAACACTCCAGTCTAGTCAATGCTTTTTCTCATCGAGTCAGAAAGCTGAGGAAAGTGCATCGAAACCATGATTCCATTAGAGCTGAGAGTCTGTTCCTGGAAAACTGAAATGTATGCAATTACCTTCCTTCCCTGCTGCAAAATTCTCCTAATGAGACCTGCATACACAGAGCGGAAAAAGAGCAGTCCCGCAAGCAATGTTTGTAAAAACAAATAAACAGACCTTTTCTCCCTTTCCATTTCAACACATCTGTCTCTGATCAAGGTCTATTTTTCATCTGTATGCCACGCCGACTCCCATTCCCCTGTCAAGTGTCAAGTACAAGTAAAATTGTGTTAGTCCAGTGTCAGTGTGCTGGAATTATGGTTGCTGTACAGCTATCAGTATACTGAAATCTATACACACACTTCACAATGGAACATTTGGGATCTTTTCAGCTTAGCAAATGATAGCAAAGGGACTGATGAGCCAAGCTTTATATAAGATTATTAGCTAAGAAGGAGGAAGATTAAAGATAAGTAATTAATGTGCTTAATGCATTTGCAATATGAAAGTTGGAGTACTCTGAGAGGATGGGTGTGGAGTGGGTTAATTGACCTAATTGAGGAACAAGCATTCAAGAGAAGAAGGCAAAGTCAAGGGGGAAGGCCTGCCTCAAACTAAGACAGCAGGTGAAACTCAACATACCAGGGGGTGGAAAATAGTTTTAACACCGGCTAGCTCAGTCGGTAGAGCATGAGACTCTTAATCTCAGGGTTGTGGGTTCCAGCCCCATGTTGGGTGTGAGATTTTTAAAGGGTCATGGGTGGCGCTGTGGTCTAAACCACTGAGCCTCTTGGGCTTGCTGATCAGAAGGTTGGCGGTTCAAATCCCGTTGCTCTGTCCCAGCTCCTGCCAACCTAGCAATTCGAAAGCATACCAGTGTGAGTAGATAAATAGGTACCGCTGCAGCGGGAAGGTAAACAGTGTTTCCATGTGCTCTGGTTTCCATCACGGTGTTCAGTTGCACCAGAAGTGGTTGAGTCATGCTGGCCACACGACCCGGAAAGCTGTCTGTGGACAAACGCCGGCTCCCTCGGCCTGAAAGCAAGATAAGCACTGCAACCCCATAGTCACCTTTGACTGGACTTAACTGTCCAGGGTTCCTTTACTTTTACCTTTACTGGTAGCAGAGCATGTGGGAAGCTGAAGTAGGAAGCCCAGAAGGATTAGGATTGCATACGACATTGGAGCAGTTTCACAGGGGGAATGTTTGATGGACTGACTTGAGAGCAAACCAGAATTAAAACTGAAAATTCCACCTGGAAGGGAGTTAGGACAAGCATGAAAACAGCAGGGCAAAGAAGTGGATATGGGGAGAGAGATGGGGAGGGAGAACAGGCACACAGAGAAACTTGGAACACCTTAGGGAGTCACAACCAAGGCCAGAGTCTGTTGCCTAGGCAAAGATCTGGAAATATTTGTAGCCAGGTCACATGGAACTAATGGCCTGCTTATGCATGTTGCAGTCATGCCAGGATTTGGAAGAACAAAACTGCCTCTTTCCTATCACTTTTACCACCTTATATGGACAATAATTCTTTTTCTCACAATCCTTGTTTGGCAGGCCTGTCCTCCCTTAAGACATACCACCAAAATCTAAAATGACTCCTCCACAGTAATAAAAGGCCACCAAATAGAGATACTGAGTATTTCATACCTAAATATGTTGCTAGAGTATGCTAAAAGTCCAACTTCCAGTTTGCCTAGATGCAACCAATCACCTGGATCCCATAACTTCCAAGTGCGAAGTTCACAATTCCTTTGAAGGCACCACAGGCTCTGCTTTTGTCCTGGGACACACCGATTTGGCGCAGCCTGCAGATGGGGGGCTGCAGAATCAGCTCCTGCGGTGGCAGCAGGATTGAGGAGGCATGAGAGCTCCTGCCCTTCCCCACCAATATGACACCTTTCTTCTCTACTACAGCTCCATCAGCTCACGGGAGAGTGAGGCCCACTGTTGGCGCTTGCACACACTCCCAGGATGCTCTAAGGAGGCCTCAGGTTGCCATGGCGCAACCTGGGTGGGGGGCATGGTGCAGTGTGCATGTCCTGATTTGCCCTCCAGAGATGTTGGAGGTCATTGGATCCATTTCATTCTGGCCACCAACTTGGTTTTGGTACTGAAATTACTCAGCTACCCTAGTGCTGGGATCACCAGTGTGGCACCCTTGAGGACTTCCTCTGGCATTCATGAAGCCCAAGGGCCCACCAAACACACCCTTCGTTCCCTTTGCCATGAGGTGGATGAGAGTGGCTGCCCCCTGCAGGGCCGGATTTAGGTTTGATGAGGCCCTAAACTACTGAAGTCATGCTGGCCACATGACCCGGAAGCTGTACGCCGGCTCCCTCGGCCAATAAAGCGAGATGAGCGCCACAACCCCAGAGTCGTCCATGACTGGACCTAACGGTCAGGGGTCCCTTTACCTTTACCTTTAAACTACTGAAGGTAATGGGACCCTTTATATGTCCAGCTGTCCTTTGTCAACAACAAATTGTCGGTGTTTTTTGTGTTGAATATATGCTATATGGTAATTTATGGACCTAATAAGTATCTAAAGCCATTTGCACATAACAAAATAGAAGCCTACACCACACAAAACACTGTTGCTGTATGTAGGTTTTATTTTATTTGTTTTTTATCTTATATTTTGGAAATGTACATCCAGTGTTTTTTTCCTTTAGTTTTTTTTGGGGGGGGGCACCTAAGTTATAGCTTGTTTAGCTTTTATGTAAATCCGGCACTGGCCCCCTGTGAAGAGCAGATGGAGGTTAAAGAAGAAGTACAGAAGATTGACAATCTTTCCTACTTCTTATTTCAACTCTATATACTTTTCAAGGTTTAGCTCCCCACTCAAGCTGCTGATGTGAGATTTCCAAAGAATATAAAGGTGAAATAGGAAGTGGGGAAAGTATTGCTCTTTCACCTTTCTCTGCTCTTGAAGGATTAGACTGGCACATGAGAAAATAAACAGAAAGTGGAATTTCCAGGAAAATTTGTTTTATATAACTTATATACCAAAATGGCTTCTAAGCAGTTTACAACTATAACATCAATCCATAATTAAAACCCACAGTATCATTAAAACATCCTTAATTAAAATGTACAATAAGACAGTATACAGGAAGAAGCCGAACAACCCACAATGCTGTCAGCATCCCCAAAGATGTCTTTTCCTAGAAGAGAGGTGATCAAACAAACCCTGGGCTGAGGCCAGCTTGTCTGGGACAACAGGAGAGCAGTCTCAGAACTGGAATGGCTTGCCATTGCCGATACCAAAAAGAGAGAGGGAAGTGCCATCTGTGCGAGTGATGCAGTTACAAAACATCACAGCAACAATGTGCTTAATGTAACTGTTTTGCCTGTTCTGCTCCTGGAATTGTGAATTATGGTGATTGTGCCTAGGCTGCTTGATTTGCAAAAAGAGAGAGAGGGAGGGAGAAGGAGAAAACAACCTGTGCAGGCCATAGCTTATAAATTACTACAATGAGATTTGCTCCAACAAAATTTTATCTTGTTATTTTTACAGGAGCTTTTCATTTTCTAAAACATGTTCTCCACTGAGGAAACTTTCACAGGAGCTTACTATTTTACAAAACTTGCTTCTCGGATAGATAACAAGGATTCCCAATATTTATCTTTCTTCCATTATTTGCTTCTTCGGTTATACATCTGCAAATATATTTATACATAACAGCTCCCATCAATTACCGGTTTCCCTCACTGATAAACCACTAGCCTTATTGGTGACCCAATCAGGTAGACTATATAAACATGTAGTCAAAGTGTTCAGATTAAATTAATTAAAGTTAATACAAACCTCTTTTTATTCTCCTTCGTACAAACAACACTAGCATTCAAATTATATTACATAGGATTAATACAAACCTTTTTCTGTTGGTGACTGACGTATCCTCCCCACTGGTGCCCAAATCACTCCGACTAAGTTTGATGCTATGACCCTTAATATTTAAAGTTCTTCCCTACTCTTGTATAGGTATAGTGTAATCACAGTCACATGCTAGCAGTTAGGCTTATTGAGTTCAGGCTCCAAAATCCCCAAGTCTTTCTTAAAGTCACCACAGTCTCACTGGGCAATTTTGCAAGAAACACAAGAGGTCCATTGAAGTGTTCAATTCATGTGGCACTTGGGTTCAAAGTCTACAGGTGAATATTTCCTCAACAAGATCCAGTCAAGGTCCACTTTATTATAGGAATGTTCTTACGCCTCAGAAAATTCTCACAGATGTGATAATCAGACAAATAAGCTACATATAAACGGTTATATTTTATGTATGTTAATGACACATTTTTGGTGTGTTTAAAAACCAGTGGGATCAGTTAGATTTTTAATTTTTAATTATTTATTAAATTTGTATTCTGCCCTTCATCTGAAGATATCAGGGTGGTTCACAGCATAAAAATACAAGACAAAAACACAAAATACATAATAAAAACAAGAACAAAAATAAACCAAACCAATAACCCCCTCTCCCACAAATACATTTAAAAGCACATAGGACGCTAATCAGTCAAAGTAATGTTTTCGCCTGGCGCCTAAAGGTGAATAATGATAACATATTGTTTGTGTATGTTTTTGTCCTTTACATTGGGGTATTGTGGACTCCAACAACTCAATATTGTTATATTGAGACCCCTTTTCTAGTAAAGACATCATTTTCTAACCTGCTAATGGTGTCATGCTTAATTACCTCCGGCAGGTATTTTATTTGTATGGATTTCTTGGGGTACATTTGAATTGGAGTCAAATGACAATGGATTGGTACAGCCATGTTATTTTTAATCAACTGAGATTAAATCTTGCTCTTTCAAATTAATCAGACTGATAAGAGTTTTAAGTTAGGCCGAGTTGGGCCCAATATTTTATACAAAATTTAATCTCCTAGAGCTAGTTATAAAACTTTCCCACTGACATTTTTTTTCCCTCTTCAAATTAATAAATGCACAGGAGACAGAACTGTCTGCCTACTTCAGTTGTCATTATGAATGGGGCTTGGCAGCAGCAAGGCATATTAAAATCTCAGATGTATTTTTCTTGGTGCTTTTAAAGGGACCAGCCCTCCTAGAAATTATATATATATCTTTTTTTAAAAAAAAACCTTCCAAAGACAGAGCCTAGGGATAAAATCTTCCTCGTCATATGTTTTAGACTATGCAGTGAAGACAGTTTCATGTCACTGCATTATCAGATCTGAGAACTCTATTTGCATAATTAAACATCCATCCACTTCTTATATCTGCCATCCCTTTCTATGAAAGATGCTAATTCTACCTCCGCTTTGTGCACTGTATTCATTTCCTGCCAACAGAAAATGTAACGCTAACTGGCCTCCTGGAATTGTATTTATTTCGCTAGTGATAGAAAATGCAGAGGTAAATGGATGCTCACTATAGGGTACAGCAGGGGTGGGGGACCTGTGACACTCTAGATGTTGCAGGAGTACAACTACCATCATCCCTGAACACTAGCTATGGTGGCAGTGACTAAGGGTGGGGAAGAAATACTGTGCAATGTGCATTTAAAAGTGATTCTAGTGCACAATTTTAAAACAAAGTGCAAACTGAAAAGCAGCGTACTTTGAAACTGTCACTTCCCTGAATTTTTCAATGCCATTCTGCATCCAAATGAAGCGTACAAAATGTGCATTAAATTGCATATGTTCGAGAAAATGACATAGAAAAATGCGTAGGGAAAGCTGCGTACAAAAATGTGCATATCAGGGTAAATTGCACTAAAATGCTGAAGAATTTTTATGAGGACTCCCCCCCCCCCCACTAATGTGGAAAACTGAATTTAAGCTTGAAAAAATGAGAAGTTGAGAGAGACTTCCCCGGTAACTGGTGTTAAGTAGCATACTGCTTCTGACACAGGCTGGATCTACAATGATCTTATAGAATGTTATATTTAATAACGTTCAAAACCTTTAAGGCAGTTTCCCATTGCTGGTGGTTTGCTGGTCTGCAGCACCCTCTGGTTTTATACATTTTAATAATGTATTTTAATGCTATAAAGGACGCGTGTAGATCTGCCCACAGTCATCGTGACTAGTAGTCATTGGTAGCCTTATTCTCCACGAATTTATCTAACCCCCTTTTAAAGCCATCCAAGTTGGTGGCCTTCACAACATCCTATATCAATGAACTCCACAGTTAAACAATGTACTATGTGAATAAGTACTTCCTTTTATATGTTCTAAATCTTTCAACATTCCACTTCATTGTCTCTGAGTTCTAGTATTATGAAAGGGGGAGAATAGCTTTGATTTACTTCCTCCACAACATCCATTTTTATACACCTCTACCATGTCCCCACTTGTGTGCCATTTTTCTAATCTAAATCCCATGACGTTTCCTCTTAGGAGAGTCACTACATCTCTGATTAATTTGGTTGCAGTTTATGGCACCTTTTCTACCTCTATGATGTCTTTTTTGAGGTATGGCAATTAGAACTGCACCCATTATTTCAAGTGCATTGTCCCATAGATTTGTAGAATGGAATTAGGATCTTGGCAGTTTTATTTTCAATTCATTTCCTAATGATCCCTAGATTGGAGTTCACCTTTTTCACAGCTGCTGCATGCTGGGTCAACATTTTCGTTGAACTATCCCACCATGGCCCAATATCTCTTCCCTGGCCAGTCACTGTATAAGGTAATTAGGATTTATTTATTGCCCCAATGTGCATCACTTTTACACTTGCTTATTTTGAATCCCATTTGCCATTTGAACACTCGTTCACCTAGCTTGGAGAGATCTTTTTAGAGCTCCTCACAATCCCTTTTTGCATTTACCAACTCAGGATTTGGTGTCATTGGTAGACATGACTACCTAACTCATTCCCAAACTCCAACTCATCTATGAGTCAGTTAAAAAGCACAGGTCACAGTATCAATCTTTGGGAATCCCCGTTTCCTTCCATTGGGAGAAGTCCATTCATTTCTCCTTTCTGTTTCTTGCTCTTTAAACAGTTACTGATCCATAGGAGGATTTGTGCCCTTATTCCATGACTACCAAGGTTCTTCAGGAACCTTAAGGATTGCATCAAAAGCTTTTTGAAAGTCCAAGTGCATGTAAGCTGGATCACTTGCTGATCCTCTCTAAGAACTCTAAAGGGTTACTCTAAGAACTCTAAAGGGTTACTGAGCCAGAGAACTGGCCTTTGCAAACATTCTAGTTCCCCTTCAGAAACACTTGTTCTTCTATATACTAGGTTGTTTTATTGTTTACAGTGCTTTGCACCGGTTTCACTGGAGCAGACATTAAGCTACCTGACCTGTAGTTTTCCAGATGCTTTTTTTAAAAATTGGTGTTACTATGATCTCCTTGCCATTGATACAGGAGGCACCAACAGCAATTTGTTTCTCTTGCTAAAAATGTATGTTTACACAGGCTTTTCCAAATCACTGGGTGCCAGCTTTTAATTAACCTGCCTGCTGCGGAGGCTTTTTTAAAATGATGTTTCATAGTATTGTTGCTTTTGTTTTGTTTTTACTGTAGAGCACATTGAGATTTGGAATGAAAAGTGGCCCCGAAATATTTAAATGAAATGAAATCTATTTACAGCCTCTCGAGCCCTCTCACAGTGTGCCTCTCACAGTTCATCCAAACATCTCCACTTTTCTGCCCTCGCCATAATCTAACAATTTCACATCATGTCTGCTTTCTCCAGCATTTTTGGGAAGGCGCTCTGGCTGCTGCTCCTCATGGTTGGCTGGGCATCTTCCTCATGAATGACATTAGTGGGGAAGGCTTTGCCTGCCACAAAGCTGCTCCACCTGGACGACATACTGGTCGCCTGTTGTGTTTTCCTTTCCTCCTCCCATGTGTTGGAAAGAGGCAGTCATCAGAATATAGATTTGCTGCTGTTGCCTGCTCCTGGAATGTTGAAGGATTTTGTGAATCAGGCTATGCTCTGAGGGTTGTTTTTTTTATTAAGAAAATGGCTCATTTGAATATGCATTTTCTGCTCCAAATCTATTTTTCCTGCAAGATTAGAGCCAGAGGACTAGATCAAGCCCTGAATCAACTGTTTTCATTGAGAGGAGATACTTCATCAGATTATCAACCCAGCTACTAGCAATTTAGTATTACAAGATGAGTTCAGGCAGAGAAGTCCTCTTTATGTTTTGCTCTTTTAATGATGTGGACATTTTTGCTACCAGATATACGATGATTTAAACATATTTCTAGTATTCAGAATGCTTTAATATCCCTGTGTTCACTCTGACATCCTTCTTTAGTGGGTTACCAGTTTAGGGACCGAGCATTCAAACTGGAGAGAACTGAGTCCCCAACTAAGCAGAGAAACCTCATGGGTCCAATTCTATTGCTCAGACTATTCAACCACACCGACTCTTAATTACTAAATACATGTAATATTTAGCTACTGTAGGTAAGGCAGCTTGGGCAGCTGCTGTTTAACAAATGCCAGGTCAAACCCCACTTGGGAACATGGAACTAGTTGTAAGGGTCTTTGGATCATGGCTAGATTGGGAAAGTGCAAACTTGCCATTTTTTATTTTTTTTACAAAACCCATTAAATGCCAGTCCCCAACAAATATTAAAACTCTATATCCTTTACTGCTTTGGCAAGCAATCTTAATAGGTTCATTGGATGGGTCGTTAGATGAAGTGGCAATACTTTTAGGTCACCAAAAAGATTCCATGAAGGAAAGCAACTAATAGCAAATATGCTGAGATTCATAAAGTTGCCATTTTGTTTCAGTTTATAGCCTTTCAAAACCTTTACGTAAATTACAAAACAGAGCTAAACTGGTGAGGCATGCAGATTTCATATATATGAGACAACAAAAAGAAGAAAAGATCAGCCTGAAGTCTTTTCATTTTGTTCAAGATGCAAATACATAATTTCCACCACCATGAGTTGCATTTATTGTGAGCTATATGTTATTGTGGAACTTCACTTTATAGTTAATTTCTTTTTAGTGGAAATTGTTGACTTGTTATTTTTTACTCTTGTTAATTAAATTATTGTTTAAGCACACAAGAGCTTTTGCTAGGTATAATTGCCATTTACATTCATTTGCCACTGTGTGCATACTCAACAAGGACCCCTTCCCAATCAGAAGCTCTTTGGCAGGTTTAACTGCATAATACCCATATTTGCTACGCATACACTTTGCTAAGTACACTGAAAACACTTTAGATGCACATGTTTCAAAGGGATGGCTTGTGTTTTCAGCGCTCATTCTGTTCTCTAGACAGTGGTCCAGAAGCTCACAGAAGCTCAATGTGCTTTGTCTAGACTCCTTCACAAATGGGCAGGCTCCCTAATAAAATTGGCACCATCAAGCAGTAAAGGCTTCCCAGTTATGCAGTCTGTCATAAAATTATACACAAATATGCATATTTACACAGTATGTACAAAATCCAAGAGGGAGAACTAATTATGTGTGGGGTTTCTGTATGTCTTACTGCAGGAACTTTTCTTTTCCTTGCAAGTGAAGCTGAGAACTTTTGATCATGCCTTGATTAAAATTCGTCAGGACTGCCAGGGACCAGACAATATTGCTCTGAGGGCCAGATGTGCCCTGCACACTGCCACTTGCCCATCCCTTCTCTAGCCTGTGGCCACAAAGCACCGATTTGTACCTGCTGACGTGCATAACTTCTCACATTGCTGAAGAAAACCCCGTGTGAAACCTTACGCAAGAAATATGCTCCACCTAATCAACTCTATTAATTTCATTCCAACACATGCAAATTATTTTTGACATATACATGAGGTGCTCTAGGGAGTGCACCAAAATTGCTTCCATTAACTGGATGAGCTGACAAGAACAAAACGACACTGCTTAAAGCAACATCTGGCAGCCTGCTACTATTTCAGACAAGAATTTTCCCGAGGCCCAGTCCCTCAAATGGGCAACTATTTATCATTTTCATTTGAATATTGGAACAGCAAAGCATCAATATGTCAGTGCAATGCTTGGGCATGTCACTTGAAGAGACTACTAGTTCTTGCCAACAACTTCTTTTTCCAGGCAATTTTGAAATGCTCTACAACAGTGCAGCCAAACTTCTGAGTACTTTGCTGCAATCTTCTCTTGCTGCCCTCATCACTGCCTCCACCTCCACAAGAATGGAGAATGTCTATCTCAACAAATCAGTGATACCCAATGTCTCCATGTCTACTTTTCTTTTAACCTTCTTTTAACTAGATCCTGGAATCAAGTGGATCCACCTTCCTACATAAAAGCCAAGGATGGGGAACCAGCATCCTGTGGGCTGCCCCAAGAAGTCTTCCCAATTGGCTTTGTAGCCTCTCAGCCTCTTCTTTGCCCACTGCTTCTTATCATTCTTAGAATGATCTCTCTCTTTCTACATAGCCAAATTATAGAATCATAGAATTGTAGAGTTGGAAGGTACCCCAAGGGTCATCTAGTCCAACCCCCTGCAATGCAGGAATCTCAGCTAGAGCATCCATGACAGATGATCATCCAACTTCTTCTTAAAAACCTTCAAGGAAGGAGAGTCCACAACCTTCCAAAGAAGACTGATCCACGGTTGAACAGTTCTTCCTGTCTGAAAGTTCTTCCTGATGTTTAGTCACAATCTCCTTTATTGTAATTTGAAGGCAATGGTTCGAGTCCTACCCTCCAGAGCAGGAGAAAACAAGCTTGCTGCATCTTTCATGTGACAGCCCTTCAGATATTTAAAGATGGCTATCATATCTCATCACTCTCCTCTTTTCCAGGCTAAACAGCTCCTTCAACCGTTCTTCATAAGGCTTGGTTTCCTTGATCATCTTGGTTGCCCTCCTCTGCACATGTTCCAGCTTGTCAACATCCTTCTTCAATTGTGGGGCCCATAACTGAATACAGTATTCCAGGTGTGGTCTGACCAAGGCAGAATAGAGTGGTGCTATTACTTCCCTTGATCAGACATGATGCTTCTGTTGATGCAGCCTAGAATAGCATTAGCTTTTTTCTTTTTCTTTTTTGCTGCTGCACCACACTGTTGACTCATGTTAAGCTTGTGGTCTACTAAGACCCCAAATCGCTTGGCTCCTGTGCTCTGCAGTGAGAAAGGGACTCTTAACTTTTGCAAGCCACCACACAATACAGAAACTCTCTTGCTCACACACACATCCCTTTACCTCCCTCTCTTTCCTCCCTCTCAACTGTCATGGTATTGCCAGAGAATGCAGGGGAGGAGCAGAGACAGACAGAGGGAGGGGGGCAGGAAGTGGCGATTGAGGAAAGAGGGGAAAGCCAGGAGGCGGAATGGCTCACAAATGTTGAACCAGAGCCTCAACACTGCACAGGAAGTTCTGGCACAGACAGTGAAACAATGCCTATTCCGTCTGGCAGGGAAAGGAGAGTGTTAAAGAGGAGAGGTGAGAGGTATCACGTGAAACTTCCCCGCCTTTTCTGTTGGAGAAGGAACTGGCATAAGCCACTCCCAGAATCTAAGCCGGAGGATTCGGATGCATGATTGTAATGCGCTGCTTGTACATATGTAAAATAAAGACTGTATATATGTATCTCTGAGTGAGCAGAGGCATTGCTTGCGAAGAGCATTCACAAGCCATCACATCAACCTTGCTGTGTGTGTGTACTTGTGGATGTGTGAAGCATGTCTGTGTACAGAGTGTGTGATTGTGGCCACTTATGGGGCTTCTGCTGCTCTCACCCAGTTTTTCACAGAGGTAACACGGTCCATGGTCAGAAAAAGATTCCCTGTCTCTGATTTAAGAGAGCTAGAAGGGGTAAAAGTAACCAAAAGAGAGATTAAAGGAAAAGGCTCCATAGGAAATATCTGATTCCAGAACTGGCAATATAGGTTGCTCTGTGATTTGACTGTCACACAGCGAAGCTTGGAGGGCATAGTCTACTCCGACCACTTAGCTATTGCCAGTCCACTTGAATTGCTGATTTCCTTTCATATTGCTCCTTTATCAGAGAGTCCAGGAGTCAGGATTTTACTGTTCTGTATTTCTACCTAGAGTTTGCCTTCCTATGGTCATCTCTTTGAGTTGTTTGCTTGTACATTTGTTGCTCTCTTTCACTTTAGCCTCTTAATGGGATTATATTTCCCCTGCACTTTAACTCAGTTCTTCTCTTTCATCTTTCAGAATACCTCTCAAGACCTAACCTTTTCTTGTAGATTGTCGGATAGCCAGCACCAAACAAAAATTCCTAAGGTAACCATGCACTCTCCAGCTCTCTCATTCATTCTCTCTCTAAAACTATTTCTAGTTTGCAGTCTCTTCTCTGACTAGAAAGGAGAGGATAAGGATGAAGAATCTTCTCCAACCATGTCACACCTAGGCATTTGACTTATAATTCTCCTAACAGAAGGTGTTCCTGGAAACTATATAGTTTCAAGTAGTCCTTCTGGCTCCATTAATCCATTCCTGTGCTAACCCCACAAACTTACAATACATTATATATCTTTGCATAGACATATCTCTCTTCTCCATTTTTCTCCTTGCTCTTTCCTGATGCTTTGCCCTTAGCATTTATTTATTTAGATTCATTTCCTGCCTATCATCAGTTTTATGACCCCAGAGTTAATAATAGCTTGATTGTAAGCCTTCAAGCTGGCATGAGGTTTCAGTTATGATTGTGATATCTGTGATTATGGTATCAGTTTAAGCGTTATAGAAACAAGCAAACAAATAAAGGACTAAAAAATAGTCCAGTAGTACCTTAGAGACCAGCTAAGTTTGTTCTAGGTGTAAGCTTTCACGTGCATGCACACTTCTTCAGATACACTGAAATAGAAGTCACCAGACCCTTATATATAGTGGGAGGGCGGGGTGGGTCTATATATAAGGGTCTGGTGACTTCTGTTTCAGTGTATCTGAAGAAGTGTGCATGCACATGAAAGCTTACACCTAGCACAAACTTAGCTGGTCTCTAAGGTACTACTGGACTATTTTTTAATTTTTAATTTCAACTGTGTCAGACCAACAGGGCTACCTACCTGAAAATAAAGGACTACTTGCTAGACTATAGGCTGTATTCTTGCCAAGATGGTTTTAGAAGAATGAACCACTATCAAATCCGCTATCAAATCCAGGCCCCTGTCACCTTAGGAGGAAGAAAGTAAGAGAATTAGAAAAGCAAACAGAAGGAACAACTCTGTGACTCAGAGGAAAGCCACAGATTGAAGAAACAGCAATTTCTCAGCAAAGAGAGAGAACAGGAGGGACACAGCAGAGCTTAATAAAAACAACAACAACCCCAAAACAGTTTGTTCTCTTGCAGAAGGAACTACAAACGAATAGAATATTAGGGTTTAGCGAAAGCAATAGGATTGGCAGAAAGAGCAGACTGGTTGAAGAAGAATAACTGACTGTAAGGAGCTGTGAGTTAGGTACAAAGTAGTTAAGAAAGTAGTTATTTAAAAAATGTAAATTGGCAAGGTTCCCAAAAAACCCACCCAACAACCCCGAAAACACACATGATGATGTGCTATCATCAACAGACGCTCATCCAATATAACAGATCACTGTTCTCACTTTGCAGCCTTTTTTGTATGTCATCTTGGCTAAGAAATTAAAGTTTTGCTTAGGAGTATATACTTTCCTTTTTGCTGTAAAGGTCAGTGAGCATCAAACTTCATCTGACATCTAATTATGCCAGTAAAAGTGTGTGAACAAAGAAATGCCAACTTACTTAAATAGCATATAACAAGCACTTGTCCCCAGTGTTAATGAACCGGATAACTAAGGCAAAACTATGCAAACACTATAATTTACAGTACAGACAAGATGACACAGATTTACTTCAATTTACTTTTCCTTGCAATGCACTTGGTTTTGAAAGGCCATTCCATTTTTTAAAAAGGCCATATTTGCTCACAACTTTCCCGAAAGCTTCCCTGGAACTTGCAACCTTCCAATCAACATATTTTAAAACAGAAGGCATGTTAATTTGGGCTTTTCTATGCTCTTGTCCCACAGTACCAATATTAGTAGTGAATTGCTTGTGAAACGGCTCCCCTAAAGAGGCCCACCAGGTCTGGTCTTTGACAAGTTTTAGGAAACTGGCAAAGGCATTTCTGTTGCATCTGGCTGTCAAACAAATTGCTTTTAATTGTCTCCATGGTTGACTATTCTGTTATCTTTATGCAGCTTTCTTTTTAACTATAATTTTCCCTACTTGATTGATGTTATTTTAAGTTGTATATAGCTCACCACCTCATTGATTCTAAATAGCATATAGGCAGCCAGTACAAGCTTTTGAGCACAGGAGTGGTGTGTTGATGGTACCCTGTACCCATCAACACTCTAGCCGCAATATTTTGCAGGGGCAGTGACATTTGGGACAAGATTCGCCTTCTCACCTTCTCTCTGAATGTACAGAGTCTAATTTCTGAAGGGCTTTTAGTTACACGATTTTGAAAGAAATTAAACAATTTAAACTATGCATACCAGTGCAGGACTGAAAGAATGAGTTCCTCCGTTACCTGTCATGTGGAGAGGTAGATGAAACAGGTGCCGTCAGCTTTCTAAGGCAACTTGAGCAGCAGGTGTTATTTAGAAGGAGCAAACTGGTAAGAAATATGCAAATAATCAATGAGCAGTTTTTGGAGGTGAGGCCAGAGAAGCACTTTCCGCTAAATACCTTGCCATCATACCCTCAATAACAGCTGGGAATTTGAGAGTCTCCAGCTTCCAAGCCCACTGGTACTCCATCCTGCAAGTGACAGCTGAATTTCAACTTCTTTCTTTTGAAAAACCTTCTGAATTATTTGGCACGTACAAAAGGCTATGCATTACAATTACTCAAGGAACTCAAGAAACTGGGGCACTGTGTACAATTAATTTCACCCTAGCTCCCAACTTCAACTTGTCCCAGATAATTAACAAAAAGCTAAATAAAAATGTATTAACATTATATATAGTGTTAGAATGCTCACCTATGATCAGCATGGACAGTAAGAGATTTGCTCCAGTATCCAGTGAATTTCATATGGATTACTTTACTTTTGTGGAATCAAGCCTGACTTGAGAGTTGTGAAATGGAGCTTAATCATGGAGATCATCTTTTAAAAATATGAAGGTATTTTCTTTCTTAATATGCAAAAAAAGAAAAAAGAAAATTCATCTAAATTATAAAAAATACAGAGATTTTATAAAAATTGTGGTCAAAAACATTATAGGAAAAAAGGAAGTAGGTCAAGAAGTACAGAAATTGTAATGCTACACATATAAAAAAACCAATGACTATATTTCACAAAGACTATACTTTCAGAGGTAATTTCTATAGAGTCAAACTGATGGTAGCTTTCTTAGCATTGGTCTCATTGGCTTTCCTCAACATTTTGCTAATAAAAAAGTCTACTGTCTTTGCTTTCTACAATCCACATTTTCTAAAAGTGTTCCAAAAATGCCGAATGCCATATGACAAGTCAGGCATGAGATGAGCATTTTCTAAGACCTCTTCTCCTGAAGCCAGGAACATCTTGTCGTCCTTAATGCTCTTTTGCCCCTGGCAGCCAGCAATTGAGAAATCATCCCTGCTGTTATGATATGCTTAGTTGCCATTTGAGCCATGAGGCTGAATGACTGCTGCTGCCCTTCTGAAGGCGGCTTTGTTAAAGAGGATGGCATGGTCTCATTCTCCATAATCAGGTAGTTTGCCACAGGGGACTAAATGCAGCTCTCCGGGCCTTTCTGGCTGACCCACTGAATTCTGCTTGGGCCACCCAACTCTCCCTGGATGCTTTGCACCATCCATGAGAGTTTTTGCCTCGCTGGAATGTGTCATTGAACTGTGAAAATGCCTCCTGCTTACCTGGATTGAGAAGAGAGAGAGATGGGTCTATGGGGGTTTCGACTTTCATATGGCTGGGATGTAACCTACTGTACAAAGGAAAGAATCATATCTGTTGCTACACCCCAGGTCTCTGGCCCTGCCCACCTCTGGTATGAGGGAATATGGCCATTGGACTAAGAAAGGTCCCCTACCCCTAGTTTACTGGATATGTGAAAAGTCCTGCCAACAAAATGCTATGGATTTTATTTTTATTTTTTTGGGACGCCGTTAGAACCTGCCTTTAAGGGCATCTCCCACTGTGTTCCAGTCATACACCAGAAACATCTGAAAATGAGTGGGGGGATATTTCACTCTGGCATTATCGAAAAAATAATACTTTACATTAATTAGTAACCAGCATTCAAGTCAACACAAAATAACAACAACAACAACACCCCAAATCTGTCTGATTTGCCCCAGCCACTCTAGGTGGCTTCCAACATATATAAAAACATAACAAAATGTTACACATTAAAAAGCTTACCTATGCAGAGCTGCTTTCAGATGTCTTCTAAAGGTTATATAGTTTCTCATCTCCTTGACATCTGACATCTGAAGGCCCTCTGCCTGATCATTTTATGTTATCATGATCACTTGAGGGTTTTTCCCCTATCCAAAGACCCTTGAAATATTGATTTGAAGAAGAACCTGGTGAATAGGTGGGACTATACTCACAGTTCAGCAGGCAAGAAAATAATGCTCCGGATCACAATCAGAGACATGGCCAGGCTGCAGTGCCGCCTGACCGTTTGAAGGTAGGTGGACTTCGCCAACTGCCTGCTCTCTCTGCCCTTCCTTTCAGATGGAACAACACTGTCTGGTTTAAACAATGCCTTTACATCGTATCACTGGGGCGGCGGGGGCGGGGGGCAGTGTCACTGTTTTTTCAAGTGCAGGCAAAGCTGCAGAGACTTCTGTCTCTTACACGGTTTCCCTTCACAACCACCTCCCGTTTTCTGTTCCATCCTTTACTCACTGCATGCAGCCCTGTTTCCATTCCACAGCAGTTCCCCCTCCACACACAAAAACAATTGTTCATCTCGCTGCTGCAGCAAAACTATGTAACTTCCATTATTGTCATTATGTTATTCCAGCTGGCTTATTTTATTGCAAAGAAAACACAATGCAAATTTGGGTGGGTGAGCAAGCGTGGGAGAACCTAATCGACTACATACCATTTGTGGACTGAAGGCAACAGTAGCAGCAAATGTCAATAATATTCACTGGATTGATTACTGTTCTGGACATGTGACATGCAAGCAATCACTGGGAATTTCCACTTCCATTTTCACCAGAATTCTCTGATATCCCTACTCAGTCAGTAAATCTGACTGTGCACACTTAAATCTTCTTCAATGATCTTGCGGATTCCCTCGTACTCCTCTGCAAAACTCTTAGGATTCCCTCACTTTCAATCACTGAGGGATTGATGGTTAACTCTTCAAAATTTCTTGTTTCATAAGCAGCCGAATTCCAAAACTTCTACCTCAAGAGACCTACTCTTCCTTCACCACTGGCAGCTCTGCCATATCCCTCATTGTCAAAATTAAGACTTTAAGCTCCAGTACCTATAAAGCAAAGCACCATGTGCTTTGATGCATAACCCAGACTGTGTGCATGCAATGAATAAGTTGGGATATAGAAAGAGTGTAGAACACGGTATTGGCTGCAAAATCCAACTTCCTGAGAACCTTAGCTTTCATTTGAATGAAGCAAGTTTTAGCCCTCATTGGTAAACAAATACATGTTTGAAATTGAGTGGGCAATGCCTGCTGAAATCTTAGAAGCCAGATAAGATGAGATTGCAAGGTAAGATAGCCAGTGATCCATAACAGAGGCACAGTGATCTACATAGCTTTATGCCCTTTCCCAAAACTAACACAATAAGAACTGTGTGCAGGATAAGTTGCAGAGGAATGTAGGGGAAACTACACAAAATTATCTGATCTGTATCATAGATAAAGGTCACAGAATTCAACTTTCCCAGCACAGAGTTTGAATGGTCATCTAACACCCACACTATTTTTAATACATAAAGCTCTATTTTTAATACATAAAGCAATGGCTCACCTCTCAAAAAGGGTATGGAGAGGTGAGCCATGCTGGCTTGGACATGTCCAGAGAATGGAAGATGGCAGGATCCCCAGGGACATGCTCTATGGACTGCTGACGTCAGGCACCAGGCCCATTGGCAGACCAGCTCTGAGTTACAAAGATGTCTGCAGATGTGACTTGAAGGCTGGCAACGTAATCCTACCATGTGAGAATCCCTTGCAGATGACCACAGTGGCCAGAGACAGTCAGGTTGTGCATCCATAGCAGTGACCAGAGGAGGAATGACCTCTGAGAGGAACATAGAGAGAAGAAAAGCCACAGCAGCACAGCCAGACGCTTTCATCTGCCCCAGGTGCAACAAAACATGTCTCTCTTATATCGGTCTCTACAGCCACAGTAGGTGCTACAACCTTCCAGCAGTTTGACTTCACCCCCAAAAGTGCACTCCTCCATTGTCTCCCAAGACAGACAGATGTCAACAGCAAAGCTCTGATCACATCCTGCAGTGCTCACACATCAAATTTCAAAAGGAGAAGAGACTGCAAAACCTTATGCAAGGAGGGCTTTTAACTCACCTTTAGGAATCAACCATGTTTTTTATTTCATTGATCCACTGAATTTGGTAGTGAGGATTCACAAGCAAGACCTCAGAGGATGAACATACATTCCAGAGCACTTCAAATGCATAACAACAACAGTTTCAAAATCCACTGATGAGCCAGATTGGAATCCAGCCTATCTGCAGCCACTTTAAATGCCTCTGAAAAATGGCAAACAAATGCAATTAGTGTTCAATAAGTATTTAATGCTAAGCAATGCATTTAAGTACTTTTATATGGCATTTTAATTGGAAAACACTCTTCCAATTACATTTATTGCACATTTCTGAACCTACCTGAATAAAATATTAAATGTAGCACCTTGAATGCTGCTGTTCTACCACAATGCCAAAAAACTGAGGGTCAGAAAGTTTGCCATAAGCCACCAGAAAAATGGTACCATCTGAGGGATATCAGCCCATAAGTTTCTGCTATGTTCTGGAACTGCATCATATGTTGGGTGGCCTGTAGATTTTAATAGATTTTCCTTTCTTTTTGCAGTTAGCTCCAACTCATCCTATCCACCCCAAAACAGGGCATAATATTCTAAGAGCACCATCAGGGCTGTAAAGGAACTGTAGGCAGTTTAACCAAATGCACTGTGTACCATGACCCAGTATCCTCCTTGCCTGGATCATTAGGTGACTGCCAGAAGGCAAGTCCATGCTACTGTCTGATATAAATCCCCTAGTTCAACTGCATTCCCCCAGTCCATACCCGTATGACAGACTCAAACCTGTTTCTTCCACAGGAACCCAAGTCTTCCTCACCACTTTGAAGTGACAAGGTGTGGGGGTTTTTTTGCTCATACCAATACTGAAGCCATGATACAGGCAAAGCTAGATGTACTGTTATGTTAAGACTAATGCACCAGCCCAACTGGGGCCCCTGCTGTGGTTCAATTGCACAGCATTTCCAAGTGGTTAAAAGTGTGTTTCCCCCCATTTTCAGGTTTCTTTAAAATTCTCTGCAGCTTAGAAATATTAACGTAAACCAAGGAAGGAGCAACCATGTTCTAGGCTTGAAAGAAATTAGAGTAATGGCAGGCTGCCAACATTTATTATTATAGCTTTACTCTTCAGCAATTTAAAATTCAGTATTAAAAAAGGATGGAACAATTACAGTAGCATGAATATAAACTAGAATAAAGGTAAAGGTAAAGGGACCCCTGACCATTAGGTCCAGTCGTGGCCGACTCTGGGGTTGCGGCACTCATCTCGCTTTATTGGCAGAGGGAGCCGGCGTACAGCTTCCGGGTCATGTGGCCAGCATGACTAAGCCGCTTCTGGCGAACCAGAGCAGCGCACGGAAACGCCGTTTACCTTCCCGCCGGAGCGGTACCTATTTATCTACTTGCACTTTGACGTGCTTTCGAACTGCTAGGTTGGCAGGAGCAGGGACCGAGGAACTGGAGCTCACCCTGTCACGGGGATTCAAACCGCCAACCTTCTGATCAGCAAGTCCTAGGCTCTGTGGTTTAACCCACAGTGCCACCCATGTCCCATAAACTAGAATAGTCACTCCAAATAGCAAGCAGGCCCACTGAGAAGAAAGAGGAAACGTTGGCATGCAAACCCTGAGGTTTGCAGAAGCTGTTTAAAAGAAAAACTGAGAGCCCCCCCCCACCAAAAGCAACAACAATATACCCTCCAACGTTTCTAGGATGAGGGATCCAGAAAATGCTAAGGGCTTTACAGTTTAATCTTATACAAGTCTGTAGACCCAATTTTAAGTCCCACTTATTTCAGTAGGGGCTTATTCTCAGGTAAGTGGGCATAGGGCTTTGCAGCCTTAATCTGAGCTACAAGTCCTATTTTGGATTAGAGTGCCTTCTCCTTTGGAATGCAATAGTTCTGGGCTCTGTGTGTGTGTGTGTTTTAGAGGTTACCAACAGCAAACCTAGTCAGAGCAGAAAATTCAAGCCGTTTATAATGCTCAAATCCCTCAATACAACACAGCCAGCCACAGGTAGTGTGACTGAGAAACATATCACCTCTTCAGTAATACAAAGGCGTGATAGCAATCAATGATGCAGCCTCTGGGTGCATTTCAGATCATGACATTCCATTCTGTTTCATACAAAGGGATGCCTTCCTTTATGCAGACTGCAAAATACACACACTTCTTCCTGCATCCTGATTTTCAAAACTATTTGTTACCAAGTCTTTCCTGTGCTATTCTTATTATAATTGCATTGTTCCTTCTTTCTACCTAGGGCTCTGATGAGAATCCCTGTGCATCAGTCTAGAATATATAGTCTTTTATTAATCATAACAATGTAACTATAAGAACATAAGAACAACCTGCTTGGTCAGGCCACTGGCCCACCTAGTCCAGCATCCTGTTTTCGTCAACCAGATGCCTGCGGGCAGCTCACATTATATGCATCTACATTAGCCACATTATAATGTGCATTATATGCATCTACATTAGCCACATTATAATGTGCATTATATGCATCTACATTAGCCACATTAAGGCTGGATCTACAATGACCTGTTTAATGTTATTTCCTCCTATTAGAACAATATTAGATATGTCGTTCTAAAACGTCGCAGGGCATGCTTGTTACTTAAAATGTTCTTTACCTTGCTTTTTTCTGTCAAATGTAAGTAATACCCGGCCACACCATTTTCTAGTACGCTGTTTCTATCTGTGCTGTTGGTTGCTCTTGTGTACCATTTTAATTCTTCCTTGCTCCCATGGGGGGGGGGGTCACAGTTTGAATGCAGTAAAAAAAAAAGGTAAAACACTACATAGGGACATATGAGCAGTGTTTCACCAATATAGCAGCATAAAACGATAAAAAATTAAGTGATAAAAAAGACAAGGTAATAAGACGTCATGAACGTAAAAGTAGAACGTCATGTGTCCATCTACATTATCAAAACCATTCCTTAATGTTAAAAACCTTAAGTGTAGACCTGGAAGTGAGTCCCATTGAACTCAGGTACAGGACAACAGCTATGAGATTATATGGTAAAAGTGTCAACTCCTAATAATGTTTGCTCAGAAGGAAGGTCCAATGTGTTCAGTGGGGTTGATTTTCTATTAACTGTGATTAGGATGGCATTTTAAGGCTGCAATTATGTGCATACTTACCTCAGAGTAAGTTCCATTTCAGTCACAGGACTTATTGTTGAGGAGACATGCATAGGGTTGGGCTGTAAATTTATCGTAATTCACTGTTTTTCTTCTTAAACCTTTGAAGTAGCCCAGCATGTTAAAAAAATAATAATTCAGATGACCATGATGATTTTGACTTGGAGATGATTTTCCCATTTTTGTTTGCATCTGCCCAGTGGTAAAATGATGTGACCGTGTTCAATAAATGCTGTTGACACATTATGCTAAAAGCATAACCCTGATGTAAATAAAAAGCCTGAGAGAAAACCTCACTGTGTAAGTGAGCAATAGCATTGGGAAGTCATTCACATTATTGGGAATATGTTACTCCGTTCCTAACAAGAGATGCCAAGTCTTTTAAAAAACAAACAAACATGGGTGTTAGCCTGGCTAAAAGAAAGTTGCATGCAGCGATTACAAATTTTGCAGCCTGGCAGCCCATTGAGAGAAAGAGCCAGAATTACATTAAGAATATTTTCCTGTAGTTTATCTCTTACTGCCATCTGCAGGTCGTATACAAACATTGTTTGTTCATTTTTGCATTTTAGAGCATTTTTATTTAGCTCTCCAGTGCTTCACATAATTATTTGAGGAGTGGGTGGGAATGGGTGGGGGGTCCTCCACTAATGCTAGCTGCTAGTTTTTAAAAATTGAGGTGTGTGTGTAAAGGAAGCTCCTGACAAGCAGGTCCCCCAAGACAACAGGGCGCAATTAATTGGGCATTTCTTCTGCAGAGGCCCCAAAAGAATACATTTAATTGGAGCTTCTTCAAGAAAACTTCCCAGTGGACCGTAGTCATAATTCTTACTGTGTTTCTGTGGTATTAGAATGGGAAGCCATAGCCCTCTGAGACCACTCCAAAATAAGTGATCTGAGGCTCAGAGCCAGAAACGCTCTCAGATGTGTATTACCATCAACATTCACTTAGAGCATGAACACTCCACTTCATGAACGCCTTACATCTTGCCTACTGCCAATAAAAGCACCATTATCAGTCCCACAGTAAATAACTCTATTACTTGACAGGTTTTCATTTCATAACATGGCCCTCTGTTTTTAACCTATCTAAAGCCTGTAACTTTGCATGCTATTTTCTGCCTCATGTGCTTCCTTCAGCCCGTGCTGTAGATGTGGGCCTGATCCCAGACTCTCTAAGTGTCCCTTTTTTCCAGGGACAGAAGCCGTCTCAGATTCTGATTTGATCCCAGAATGTCCGGCTTTTCCTTCAGACACCCGTTTTCATTGGAGCAATGTTGGGAGGTTATTGAGTTATTCGAACCCCGAGCTGTCTGAAAACAGCCCTGAATAGGGAAGTCTTTTAATGTTTAATGTTTTATTATGTTTTTATATATGTTGAAAGTTGCCCAGAGTGGCTGGGGCAATCCAGTCAGATGGGTGGGTTACAACAACAACAACAACAACAACAACAACAACAGTAGAATAGAACATCAGATAAATATTGGAGGGTATGTGATCCTAGTCTTATCACTTTCAGCAGTCATGATTCCCCCTAAAGAATTCTGGGAGCTGTAGTTTGTTACAGGTGATGAAAATTTTGGGGAGACCCCATTCCCTTCCCAAAGCTACAATTCCCAGAGTTCTCTGTGAAGAGGGATTAGTTGTTTCAAGCCATGACTGTTGAAAGTGGTATCATAGCACTTTAAATGTGTGGTATGAATGTGGTCTTAGGCTTGTCCAACAGTAATGCAGTAATGAAAGAGAAGGAGATGTTTAGTTGCAAGAAACTGAGTCAGTAGGAGAGAAGGGCAGCCATCTCTAGATGATCACAGAATTCTTTTGATTTCAGCCATTATTCAATGCTTTTATCACAAGTGGAGAGGTGGTTAGAGAGAGAGACAGAGAAAGAGAGAGAGAGAGAGAGAATGAGAGAGAGAGAAGAGAGCACTTGTTTGGTAACTTTAGAATATGAACATCTGCAGAAGATGAAAGGCAAATGTTATGGTAGCACAGGCATCAATTTTAAGGTAATAGCAGGCATGGAATTCTAATCACTGGAGTTTAACCCCCAAAACAGCAGCAGAAGACAGCTAGAACCATCAACAGTGCATTTAGATTTTTCCATTGTGTATTCGTATTTTACAGTTTTTATGAGAGAAAGTTAACCTAGCAAGTTGAAAGAGTAGTGGGTTTTTAGATATTTTCTGCCATCTAGAGCATTGAAATTGACACTGCATACATATGCAATAGAGATGTTACTTGAGTGGGCAGTTCTCCTCCAAGCAGTCCTGAATTTTATGTTGTGATTGTGACAAGTGCTTCCAAATGAGTTTATTACGGCATCAGTGCTGCTTATGCATGCATGTTTTTCACAGCATTCACATGGCATTGTTAGCATCAAAATGCCAGCCTGTATTTTTATTTTTTTAAAACATTTAATCCAGATTCACCCTACAACAGAAAATCCAAAAAGTAAATAACCCATTATACAGCCAATCATTGCTGGTGTGGATTTAGTGCATTTTTCTCTTTTTTATGGGTGGTTTTTCCACATATGTGATGACATTTTGGTCGTTAGTCTTTAATGCCATACATTGACTTCCTGTTCCTGACTTTTGTTCCTGGTGGCCCAAACAATTCGAAGAAGGGACTTCTCATTTGCACTAACATTAACACAACCACATTTTCTATGGCAAGAGTTACAAAACAGTCACTATGCCCATTTTCCAATAGCAATTTAAGGTAGCTCTTTGAATGCTTGTAAACAGCGATTCTGCCACATTCTGAGATAATGGCAAATGAATGCAATGACAAGCAAAACAAATATTTATTTGCTGACTGAGACCCAAATCCCAATCAAGAAACTTTGGTGGTTGCATCCTACTCTAGCCTATCTCTTTGGCAATACTGGTTCAATTGCAACTTTTATCACCATTATAGCATGCCCTCCAACAATTCTCCTCCAACATGAAAGTAGGAACATCCTATTCAATAATAATAATAATAATAATAATACCCCGCCCATCTGACTGGGTTGCCCCAGCCACTCTGGGTGGCTTTCAACATATATAAAAACATAATAAAACATTAAACATAAAAAACTTCCATATCCAGGGCTGCCTTCAAATGTCTTCTAAAGGTTGCAATTTATTTATCTCCTTGTTCAGGGGTCACATAACTCCATATCTTCCTACATTTCTCCGATGAAAATAGGAACATCCTAAGGAAAAGCAGGACATTCCAAGATCAAATCAGAAACCAGGATGGTTTCTGTAAATCCAGGACTGTCCCTGGAAAATAGGGATATTTGGAGGGGCTGTTATAGTATTTTTAACAATACCAGTAACAGTAAATTTTGTTTTCCTTCTGGCTAAAAGACCCAAGTCAGAGATCAGCATGGATTGGACTCATGACCTGACTGCAGATTCGGAAGCTAGCTATCTCTGTCACAAAGGAAACAAAGGCATTCAATTAAATATACAAGGAGGATTGCCTTGGTCGACAGCTCTGCATATCATTCAGATCCCACAGAGACAAGTGCAAATGAATGCATCATAACTCCTTGCCAATTCCACAGCCTTCCTAGCACTAATAAAACAGAATGATTCGGCTCCTCCATAATAATATGACAGCAACAATCACGGATAACAATGGCTGTCAAAGTGAACCATTCACAGTGGGATCAGGTGTTAAACAGGGTTGTGTTATTGCCCCAACTCTATTCATTATTTTCATTGCCATGATCTTACACTTTGTCGAAGGGAAACTCCCACTGGAGTAGAAATCATATATCGAACAGATGGAAAGCTCTTCAATCTGAGCAGGCTGAAAGCAAAGAGCAAGGTTACTGTAACTACCGTCATAGAGCTTCAGTATGCTGATGACAACGTAGTGTGTGCATGCTCAGAGGATGACCTCCAAACCATCCTAAATATCTTTGCAGAAGCTTACGAAAATCTTGGCCTATCGCTCAACATCCAAAAACCCAAAGTGCTGTACCAACAAGCACAAAATAACCCCTCTGCAGAGCCACAAATCCAACTCAATGGTGTAACATTGGAAAATGTTGATCACTTCTCCTACCTGGGCAGTTATCTTTCCAAAAGGGCTGACATTGATGCCAAAATCCAGCATCGCCTAAGCTCTGCAAGTGCGGCTTTCTCCCGATTGAAGTGCAGAGTGTTGAGGACCAGGACATTCGCAGGGAAATCAAAATGCTTGTTTACAAAGCTATTGTCCTACCAACCTTACTGTATGCTTGTGAAACATGGACCACTGATAAACACCATCTCCAACTCCTCAAAAGATTCATCAACGCTGCCTCTGAAAAATTGTACACATCACTTGGGAAGACAGGCAAACTAATACCAGTGTACTGGAAGAAGCAAAGATTACCAGTGTTGAAGCAATGATTCTTCAACATCAACTTCATTGGACTGGTCATGTTGTACAGATGCCTGATTATCACCTTCCAAAACAACTACTCTATCCTGAACTTTAAAATGGAAAGCGTAATGTTGCTGGTCAACAAAAGAGGTTTAAAGACTGTCTCAAGGCAAATTTTTAAAAAATATAGTATAAACACCAACAATTGGGAAACACTTGCCTGCAAGCGCTCCAATTGGAGAACAACCTTTACCAAAGGTGTCATGGGCTTTGATGACACTCAAACTCAGGACACACTGCAGAAACATGCTAGAAGGAAGGCATGCTTGGCAAATCCACACCACTATCAACTCCCGCCTGAAAACCAATGTCCCCACTGTGGAAGGACGTGTGGATCCAGAATTGGCCTCCATAATCACTTACGGACTCATTGTTAAAACCGTGTTTATGGAAGACAATCTTACTCGCCTACAAGTGATCACCAAAGAAAAAGAAACAGAATAACAGCAAATAGCTTTCTAGAGCACTCAACTGAACTATCAAAACTGCTTAAAGATTAGGCATTCCATTTCACTCTGCTCCCCACACCATTGTCAAACCAAAATATAAACCAAAATTTAAGTCTACCATATAACACTTTATTCTAATGACCACCACCACTACTATTCTAATGACTTCTGAAAAGTTCCTCCCAACATGCCAGGTTTTCAGGTCTGTGGAGTATTTTACATGGGAGATCCCTTTATTTACAGTTTCAAATGGTACAGCCCAGGGTCAGACATGGGTCCTTTGCTCACCTGGCTTAGATTCTGGTTCCCCCATATTTCTTCACTTACATTTTATGCATCTAAGTTCACATTTTCACTGATTGCAGCCAGAAGCGTTTATTCACTCTCCAGTAAATGCTTTCCATCACTACTAAGAACTGAACAAGAAGCAGGGGTGAGTGCTTCTCCTCACACCACGGTAGTAGCACGAGTGGTAGCAAATTCAGTCCAGAGAATTATCCACTTCAGGGAGCCAGGTCTCCAGCATGATTTGGCTTCTATGTCTCTTTGTGGCTAGCTTGCCTCTCAGGAGAGAACTCTGCCAACAAAAGAACTGATTGGTCCATGGTGAGTGAAAGGAGGTCTGTTCGTTCTTCTACATAGCCCAGAGAAGACTCTTACAGAGCAGCTCTAGAATCTTTGCAGCTGCCAATAATAGTTCTCTGACATCATTATGACATAATGAAAATACAATACTACCTAGGGAATCCCACAGTACCCTCTTCCCTGTCATCAGCTGGCACTGGAGAAACCTAGACTCGTTGACACTGTAAAATGAAGAGACACAATGACTAAACAGATGCTAGTGCTTCCTTCCTCTGGCACAACATGATTTCTGCCATCACAAGTCAAAGTGTGATGGGCTCAGCTCTTGGGTGAACCTGGTATGGGTTGCTTCCTCAACCTTTGGTCGGCATGTACAGGCACAGGACCTCTGTCTTCACACCACCACAGTCTTACCCATCAAACTAATGGGCCATCAGTTTGCATATAATAAGCATTAGTTCTGACAAAGATCTCATAGCACTCTGAATTACAGAGAAGTAGATATAAGATGAAGAATGCCACTTGTCTTTATGGAAATTTAAGAGAGAGAAAGAAATCCATCCATCATAAGACAATGTTGATAACTATAATTGCACATATGACCCATGAGCTGAACTAATGAACAGTCCTTTGAGTAATGTCTTCAGCTTCATGGAAGCCATTTGTTATTTGATAGAGAATCAATCCCGATGACTGGCAAAATGGGTCCTCACTTTTTTTGGCTCAAGATTTTGATGAAGGAGTTATTAATGTGTTTGAGATGAGCTCCATTTTTTAAATTCTGCTGTCACACATGTGCCGGACATAAAGTGCTGAGGTTATCTATCGGTACAATAAATTTATTCAGACAAAAATCTGAACTGGGCCAGAATAAATAGACTCTGGGTGTGCCATTAGGGACCTTTCTATATGCACAGAGTGGCATGTACTGTCAAGACATTTAGCTATATGTGCAGAGGTCAGGGCAACAGGCATAATTCTCTGCCCACAGTTATGACTCACAAACTGGGCTTTGTATTTGGAGTTCTAAGGCCATGCAGTGTAGAAGTCAGTTGGCTGTCAGACATGGGCCCACCATTTGCTGGTACTTCAGCACACTTCAACCAGTGTGATCAACAGAGTGTCCCAACAGAACATCAGTATTACTGCTTTCCAGTAGTCAGGCTTCTCCAGAGTTCCAAGTTAAGAAAACTCCTTCCCTACTTGAGATTAAAGTATAAAGTGTTTGTTCTTGTCTCAAGACACAAGACAGATCTAAACACACAAACTTCAATAATACATTTCTTCTGATCCAAGGGTGCCAACTTGAAGAAAATATTGGGGGGGGGGCAGGTAAGCCCCATCCCGCATAATGGAGCTGGTGGTTCTGGAGAGGCCAGCGACTCCAGGGTGCCTTGCCATGCAGTGCCCCGGCTGATGTGCTCCACTTGTGGCAGCACCACCTGTCCTCATCCGGAAGAGGCAGAAGATGTGCACAGTGACACTAATCATCTCCTTTCTGACACTGTAATACGCTGCCATATCACAAAGTTTAGTTGGCAATACAGTGGTACCTCGGGTTAAGAACTGAATTAATTCTAGAGGTCCGTTCTTAACCTGAAACTGTTCTTAACCTGAGGTACCACTTTAGCTAATGGGGCCTCCCGCTGCTGAGCCGCCGCACAATTTCTGTTCTCATCCTGAAGCAAAGTTCTTAACCCGAGGTACTATTTCTGGGTTAGTGGAGCCTGTAACCTGAAGTGTCTGTAACCCGAGGTACCACTGTATATTATGATGTTGGAAAGCAGGTATCGCCCAGCCCTATTGGTGACATTAGTAGCCCCAACTGTGCCAGAGTTGCTGACCCAAACGGCAACTGCAGACTTGCAAAATGCTGAGGCGTAATTTGCTGCCACTACTTGGTATTTACAAGTGGGTGCTCCTCTCCTCCATCACCCAGCCACAATCACCAATTATTTGTGGTACCTGCGGCACCTGCCCTCTTTAGCTCCCTGAACTAACCTGTACAGTTTATCTATATCTGCTTGCCTTGACAGGTCTCTTCTGAGTATTCCTTTCCCAAGCCTGTTGTTGTTGTTAGCTTTGAATCCTGCTCAACCCTGTCTGATCTGAGTTTGCCTGGTGATAATGCTCCCCAAATGTCATCTTTCTTCAGATGATGCTAATCGAGTTTGCCTTCAAAGGATGTGCCGATATTGCTCCCCTGGTGCAAAGCTGCCATATCTGTTTGGAAGATGGCAAGGAATAAATATTACAGTCATTAAAAGGCTCCGCTATGCCCGACTCTATTTTCTAAAGGGTATGCTGAAGCTGTTACTTGGCAATCTGCCTCTAACATAAATGTCCTCATGGGTTTCCACTGAAACATTGTAAAAGCAAAATAATAATCTCTCTGTGAATTCCTGTCTATGCTGCTGCTACTCAACACCCTCTTAGTAGGCCCAGATCCACCAAAACAATCAGGAGTTGGCAATCTAAGGCCCACCAGATGTTGTTGGACTACAACTCCCATCATCCTTGGGGCAGTTTGGGGCAGATGAGAGTTGGAGTCCAGCAACACCTGGATAACTTCTGCTTGCTCGTCCCAGATCTAGATAAGTCTAATAGGGACTATTCATGGACACTAAGTGAAGTATGTGGTGATGTTAGTGATTGTTGTTGTTTTTGCAGAATTAGCATTATTTGTGGATTATATTTTATCCCCTTTCGGTTCTAAATTTTGCATCCCACTTTACAGAACAGAGGATATGGTAGGTTAAAACAGCTCTACGAAAGTGGCAGGGAACTGACGATGCAAGATAAATTAGATAATGAATCTTTGTGAATTTATCAAGGTGCCTTATACTGAAACAGAGTGCTGGTCCCATCTATCCCAGATTGTTTGTTCTGACTGGCAGAGGATGTCAGACAAGGTCCCAGACCTGCAGCCCACAGATTCATTCAAGTACAAAGCACATGCCAGGAGTAAGCAACACGCTGACCTCTGGATGTTGTGGGACTGCAACTCCCATCAGCCCCAGAAATTATAGCTGTCAAGGACAATGAAAATCAGAGTCCAGGAGCCTCTGGAGGGCTTCCCCTGTACTGTATTGCTGATATGAGTCCTCCCTAGCTATTTATGTAGTCTATTTTCTATAATTCTTTGCTTACTTTCCCCCCAAACATACTCAGCATTCTAACCTACATCCCACTTGTTACTTTTGACAATATTAGACAGCCGTCTAGTCTCTTCCCAAGTTGTCTGCCACGGGAGAGCCCACCATTCCTCTAAGTAATTGGTTCCATTGTGAAGGGGGTCTTAATAAGTTTCTCCTAATACTCAGCCATTAAATCTAATCCTTCTCCCTGAGACAGCAGAGAATAGTTTTGCCCAACTTTCAAGAGACTGTGATCTACAACCACTATAAAAAAAACTGGCAGTGATCTACCCATTGGATTGACCAGAATTGTTGAACTTTTTTTGGGAAAGCTTCATCATTGGGGGGGGGGGGGGGAGGAGGTAGATCACGATCAACCTGTTGGACAGCCCTACTATGGGTATTTGAAGAGTGCTTTCATTCCCTGTCCCCTCAGTCTTCTCCAGCCTTAACCTTTCCTCAAAAGACTTAATTTTTTTTAGATTGTTCTTAAGGTGCCACACCCGTCACTAGATACAGTCTTCCAGATGAGGTCTGACAAGCACAGAATTAAGTGGGTTTTTGACTTCGTGTGTCTTGGAAACCATGGTTCTAGTGTAACGCAACCTAAAATTGTATTAGACTTTATTGTAGCAGCATCACACTGCAAACTCATGTTTCAGGTTGTGTGCAAGTACAGCCCTAACATCCTTTTCACATGTACTACTGCCAATTAATGTGTCTTCATCTTGCAACCTTGTTTATTATCCTCCATTCTGCCCTTCCTAGGTGTGTACTGGGATATCAGAGGTCCAAAAGCGAGCTAATGCTCCATTTTCTAGGTTAAGTGAAGTCTTTTTGTTCCTTCAATGTGCTCCTCAGAGAACTTATGAAAACTCTCTGGTTTTATTTAAGGAATTGACTGATTAACTATCCAAAATCCTCCTGCATTAGTTTTCAAACAGTGTTCCATGGACCCTCAGGGTTCTGGTGTAACCTTTTAAGAGTTCTTCAATGAGAAGATCAGGACCAGCAAATGGACCTCCCTTATATAACAGCTTGATTATCAGTACTCCCATTTAACCCTGGCTAATATATTTTTTGTTCTGGGTGTCCATTACCTCAAGTTACAATTTCCTTTTGATTCTCCTGATAGATGCCAATGAATTTTTTTTTTTAATGTTATGGCCAGGATCCAAAGGATCATGCTCCTTTCTCCACATGGGCAAAAGTTCAGGGCTTTCAGGAGGACAGGGAGAGACTCAAGACACTCCTGAAAACAGAACCTTCCAGAGTGCCATTGATGTAACACAAGAGGCTGCAGCTGGTAAGGGAAAATCCGTTAACCCCCTACGCTTGTATGGAAGTGATTTCCACTCCATGCATGGATCTTTGGACTTCAACCTATGCATATCTCACCTCATCCTATGCTCAATATGGTTTACATAACACAACGTGATCAAATGTCAAGGCATTTAGCATTAAGCCTACTCCATTTAACACAATGTTGAGGACCCATTTAGTAGATAGCATGTCTGGCTTGGGCAAGGGAGATCCAGATTTAAAATCTCACTCAGCTATGAAGTTCACTAAGTGACTTTGGGCTGCCATGATACTTTAGCCTCCTCCCATGTCAAGGAATTGTTTTGAGGACAAAAGGGAGCAGGGACCACAAGTGTCACCAAGTGGCTCCTTGGAGAAAGGGAATGGAATAAATAAATAACACATTTCCTTAGCAACTCTAAATGACTGCACTCATACCAAATTCCGAAAGGTACCTCCCCTGCATTTTAATTATTTAGCTTAGTGTTTTAGAAATGCGATCAAGTACTGCTTTAATCAAAGTTATAGAACTGTCTCAAACAGTTGATCACTGCTGTCAGTATCCTGTCACATTTGGAATGGGATTCCATTCTCCTAAGGAACCAGCAACCAATTTACAACGCAGAACAGAACAGCTTAATCAATTACACAAGTAATTAGCTTCATTGCATTTTTTTATGTTATGATATACCAATTTTCATGCTTCCTGGATTCATCTATTTCAGGATTCCAATTTGTAAGTTCTACAAACTTGATTAACTACAAAATGCTTGGCTTCATAGTAGTACATTATTGTAAATAAAAGGTGGTTTGCTCACTTGGGAAGCAATTTTAAAATGATAAGTACTTGATGATGTATGGCCTATAAGCTGCTGAAAGATAATTGCATATAGTCAGCTGTTTGTAAATTCAACATTATTTAATTACACGTAATTAGATTCTTTGTAAATGTAACATTGATAGTTGAATGTTGTCCTATTAAACTGATTGAAAGCACCTGCAATGTGTAATTAGCTTTTCCAACACCAAACTTTTACATACATACATACATACACACACAAAATCCATGCCAATTATATTATTACCTTCCTAGCTGATTGCTAATATGTTTGATAATTTAAAAGTACATTTATAAGTATGTATATGAATTACATTCATGAAAGGAGAGGCAATGATGAACTGAAATGTATATGTAGGGGAAGAGTTGCTATTTTTAAATTGGCCTGGAGGTTTCCAAGAACAGTGCCTTTGATGGACCAGCACCATCAAGCTTTGGTACTTTATTACTGGTGGCCACGCCAATCTTGGAGCTTCCTTTTAGAAGTCAGAAACAGCACATGGCCTGTCTAACTGAACAAGTACTCAATGATCAGGGATTCTAGAGGGTTATATTTTGGCCCATGTAGTTCAGCACACTGTTTCCACAGTGGCTATCCCAACACCTCTGAGAAAACTTCCAAACAGCACACAAGGGCAATATCCATCTGCTGCTGGTATCCTCAGCAACATATATGCCACATCTGAACCTGCAGATAGTGTGTGGGTATGTCTATGTTTTGTGCTTGGGGGGTGGGGGAAGTGACATCTGTTGATGTCAGAATGTAACAGTCAAAGTTCAAGGCCTTGTGCTGTGACAGGTTGTGAAAGGGAGATCATGTAATCACAGAATTATAGAGTTGGAAGGGACCAAAAGAGAGACAACAAGCCAAAATTCCTACAATGCAAGAATCACAACTAAAGAATCCATGACAGATGGTCATCCAACCTCTGCTTAGAAACCTCCAATATGGAGGGTCTAACACCTTCCAAGGGAGTCCATTCCACTGGCAAACAGCTCTTACCGTCAGAAAGTTCTTTTTGAAGTTGGAATCTCCTTTCTCATACCGTATTTTTTGCTCTATAAGACTCACTTTTTCCCTCCTAAAAAGTAAGGGGAAATGTGTGTGCGTCTTATGGAGCGAATGCAGGCTGCACAGCTATCCCAGAAGCCAGAACAGCAAGAGGGATTGCTGCTTTCACTGCGTAGCGATCCCTCTTGCTGTTCTGGCTTCTGAGATTCAGAATATCTTTTTTCTTGTTTTCCTCCTCCAAAAACTAGGTGCGTCTTGTGGTCTGGTGTGACAAATACAGTAATTTATAGAGCGACAAATACAGTAATTTGAATCCATTGGCATGAAGCAGCAGGAAACAAGCTTTCCATCTTCCATGTAAAAGGACCCCTGGATGGTTAAGTCCAGTCAAAGGCGACAATGGGGTTGCGGCACTCATCTCGCTTTCAGGCTGAGGGAGCCGGCGTTTGTCCACAGACAGCTTTCTGGGTCATGTGGCCAGCATGAAACTAGGGACATCCTACCGTACCCCTCCAACTTTTCTCCAATAAAAATAGGGACATCCTAGGGAAAAGCAGGACATTCTGGGATGAAATCAGAAACCGGGACAGCTTCTCTATATCACGGATGTCCCTGGAAAATAGGGGCACTTGGAGGGGCTGCTGTACCAGCACTGCATTGCTGGCTTTGGAGCAGATTCCCTGAAAGAGCTTGCAAGATCTTACCCAAATCTCATGAGATCTTTTGCTCTCCTTGATATCTTGCAAGACTTTGATGAAATCTTGCAAGATCTTGCAGGAAATCAGCACCTACACTGGCACCACTTCTCTGGCAGAGGTGGGGGCACGAAAGGAGGCACTCATGAGGGTGCTCTTGTAAGAAAAACACTGGAACCTAATTTGAATAATAGACTACTTGGTATCTAGTGGGAAATTCAGTTTGCTGAATGTGCCAACCCTGACCAAGTGTGGTTTTAATGTAAATTTTAATCACAACAAATGTGCACTCACCAAAGATGGAGTTTTGCATGCACAAGGTTTTGAAAATAATGGAGTCTTTGTGCTGGATACCAGTCAAGAAAGAGTGAATATGGTCAAGAAGAATTCAAGTGCAACCAGTGTTCATCTGTAGCACAAATGGCTTGGACATAGAGACTTCAGGATTAAGCAGACCTGCCAAAGAAAGGTTTGGTGAGAGTAATGGAAATTAAACGTTGTAAAGTTGACCTGAATAGTGGGGAAGGGAACAAGACCTTCTATCTCGAAGCAAAGCCAGGGAAAAAATGCTGAATGTTTAAATAAGAAAGTTTTGAGAATTTACATACTAAATTAATATTAATTCAAATTAGGCACATTGAGAAGGGGATTGTAAGAAAAACATTAGGGCCTAATTTGAATAGTAGAGTGCTTGGTATCTGGTGGGCGGGGCTTGTGTGCTTTGCTCCGGAATCAGCCCCTCCCTTCAGTGCGTGTTGAGTTCTGTTCAGTTAGTTAAGAATGTCCATTAAGAGGGACCAACTGTCTCTTCTTGTTTCTTGCCTCAAATTTGCCTCCTGTTGCTGTACAGTGGTACCTCTGGTTACGAACTTAATTCGTTCCAGAGGTCCATTCTTAACCTGAAATCGTTCTTAACCTGAGGTACCACTTTAGCTAATGGGGCCTCCTGCTGCTGCTGCATCGCGATTTCTGTTCTCATCCTAAGGTAAAGTTCTTAACCCGAGGTACTACTTCCAGGTTAGCGTAGTCTGTAACCTGAAGTGTTTGTAACCCGAGGTACCACTGTATGTAGTTTTTCTCATGATGTTATTTTGTTAAAATTTTCTTTCTTATTAAAGCTTAGTTTACATTTACGTGAGCCACTTATTTTTCTCAAAGAAAAAATTATGGGTAGGCTGGCCTTGCCTGAGGTCATTATGGGCATGCACACTGGTATCTGCTTACCTGTAAGCACACACCTTTAGTTAAAATAAAATACAAGTTTCTCAGTCTACCAGCTTTGCACAAAACAGCAGCCATACGTACGTTTGAGTTTGTGTGTGTGTTGCTCCAAGCCAGGAAACCTGAGATCCATGGGCATTTGTTCCCATGTAGACATACACCTTTTGTGATTTACCATGCTTGCAGAAAAGAGCAGTCCAAACATAAAAATAAGTGACGCCTCACTCCAAACTAGGTAAGGATTTGGAGTTGTTCACATGAAAGGCTGCCTGTTGCTTCGTTTCCATGTCCTTTCCTCCCCATCTCCTCTACCCATGGGTGTAGCCAAGGGAGGGCAGGGGGGTCCACAAATCTTGTGGGAAAAGGCAGACTGCAGCCTTTTCTCACAAGAGAGACAGCACCCAGCAAAACATCACCACAAGCAGGGATTTTTGGGGCAATCTCATCATTTATCTCCACACTGTGGCTCCAGACCAAATCATCTGTCAGGAGAGCTATGGCGTAGCCAGCACGGCTTTCCTGTTATACCTTCTGGGCTTGACGAGGCATGTGATCCCCACCTGTCTCCAGTTGAGGAATCACACACTCACTCCCCAAACTAGCGAGCTCCACCTAGGCTGTGGGTCCTTGCCTGCCCTCCCTCAGAATTGCCTGCCCTCAGATTGTTTGATCAATTTTGTAGGTACTCTCTTGACGGCAGAGTACATGATTTCACCTTTTGGAGCGTTTGAGATAGCATAGTTGTTTAAGGCAGTGTTTCCCAACCTTGGGTCTCCAGCTGTTTTGGGACTACAACTCCCATCATTCCTAGCTAGCAAGACTAGTGGTCAGGGATGATGGGAACTGTAGTCTGAAAACAGTTGGAGACCCAAGGTTGGGAAACACTGGTTTAAGATATCAGCCTAAACAAGAGATTCCAGTGATTCCAACAGCTTACTGCAGGGAGGGCTAACTCTGTTCAGACCAAGTGCCACAATGACCCATAGTCAACCACCTGGAGGCTGCATATTGAACTAGCAAGGATGCTATAGAGTCCAGGCTGCCTTCCAATAGTCCAGGCATGGCCAAACTTGGCCCTCCAGCTGTTTTGGGACTACAAATCCCATCATCCCTGACCACTGGTCCTGTTAGCTAGGGATGATGGGAGCTGTAGTCCCCAAACAGCTGGAGGGCCAAGTTTGGCCATGCCTGCAACAGTCCATGCCCTAGCCATCCCTGGTTTAGTGTTTCTGATAAAGATCAATGCTAAGGAAAATGGAGAATAATGGGATTTCACCCAAAAAGATATGCAGGCCCTACAAAATGTGTGTAGACCATGCGATACCAAGGAGGGTTGGGTGTTCTTGCGCCTTAAGTATCTGCAGCAACGTGTATTTGAGAAGGGAAAGCAACGCTGCAAGAATTCAAACCACAGAAAGGTGCCAACTATTATGAGACACCTCTGAAGTCAAAATCACAGGGTCATTCAATTTAGCAAAATTGGTGAGCTACATACTTCATTTTTCAGGGTAAGTCAGCCTACTGATTCTTCTCTATTGTCCAGAGGCTACTTCTGTTTCTGCCAGTAATGCTTTATGTGGTCTCCTGTATACAGTATACTTGCCCTTCCCTTTGCCAAAGGATTTATATGATTCTGCTCCTTCCTGTGCACAGAAAGATATAGGCAGAATGTTAGCCTGTCCTCAGACAGATTTACAAAATTTTAATACAAATGTAAGAGAAAAGTTTTGACAGTAAAGAATAGAAACCACAGCATTTAAAAGGTGTTTTTATTAGCCATTTGAAACATCATTGGAGTAAAACAGCCTCATTAAAGAAACATTATTATTTATCTGACATGAGAACTATTTCATTATGTGTCAATAAGTTGGTGGAAAATTATCTTAGCAACTCACTTCTGCTTCCACAGGAGCTATATTTTCTCTTACAAAAATAGATTTATAAAGCTTTCCACAATTAAAAGCAAAACCCCACATAAAAAATGGGTCTTCTATCTTTTTTCTGTTGTTTGGACATGAATACCAACATAAATTAATGAATTACTCGATGACATGGACAAAATGTTCTGGCTGGTATGTTTTGGAACTTTAAAAAATGAAATATAGAAGTATATATAAAAAAGGCCCCACAAACCCAATAGTTTGTCAAGTTTAATAACCAAGTGCTGAAGCAAGGTGTTTAAATAAATAATAGATATTTAAAGGATTGTAAGCCAGGTATCGTAAGGGTGTTTTATCATTATTTTGCTATGCTTACTTTATTTTAATAGCTGGACACTGAAATCATAAACTGTAAATGTAGATCGTTGTCAGCTGAGTCTTTGCCAGACACCAAAATGATTTGACAGCTGACAGCAGTCTGCTTGAATGCTATAAACTGTGGGCCTTGTTTCCAGCAGGCTATCAAAACACCATTTTAACCTTCAATTTCCCCATATATCAAGGGCAAAATGAAAAGAAATCCCTTTGGTATGATGTCATATTGTGAAAACTCTTGTTAGGTGGACTTCCGGGGGCGGCGCGAACGGTAATGGCGGTCTTCTCCCGACCGGAGAAGAAGCTCCGCTGAAACCGGGTCGTCCGCTACGGCGAAGCGGAGACCCAGTGAGAAAAACCCCAGGCAGCAAGAGCCTGGGGTCCTGAGGCTCGGCGGGCGCCAAGAGCAGCCCTCCAACTGCAGAAGGAGCCTCGTAAGAGGCTCCGGAGCGTGGAGGGGGGCTGCGGCGCTGTGAGCCGTTTCACAGTCAGCGGAGTGAAGCCGCGCTGCTGCTGCCGGTGAGCGCTGATCCCTTTTCCTGTTAAAATTCGGACCTGGAAGAAAACAACTTACTCGTGAGTAAAGACTGAATCACTTGGAATTACAAATTTTAAATGAGAAGGTTTAAATTGACTTGAATTTGGCTGAAAGCGGAGAGACGTGGAAACAGGAAGTCCGTCTTCCGCTGCCATTGAACTTGGAAAAAAAAGCAACTAAGGTGGAGGAGTGGAGGCTGAAAGAAAGAGATTTTAAACTCTACACAGCCAAGCATCTATGGAACTTACAATTTAAAGTAAAATTAGCAAGTTAAAGATTTGGACCTTTTATTTGCACTTGACTTTCCCCTTTTATTGGATTACAAATTGGAAGGTGAAACCCAGAGTCAGGACTGCTTGAGCATTGTAACAGTGGGCTGTCAGTGTTTGACTTGGATACTGTATACTGGAAGTTGCAACAATTTGAGGGCATTGAGACATTTTAAATTTGAAACATTCTTTTTGGAGACAAATAAGCACTGTCTGCAACAAAGTGATTACCTTTAAACTCTGCTTAATACTTATATTGGAAGGTTCTGGGACATTAAATCAGACTCTGAAAAGACATTTTAAGCTCCTCTAGAGGATTGGATTAAAACAGTGACTTTATAAAAACATTTACTTTCGATTCTCTTGTTGTCTGCTTGCTCTGGGACTCTCTATTCCTGTGGGAAAAACTCAGTGTGACCTTGACTGATAGATAACATTGGAATGAGTGGTACAAGAAGAAGAGGAAGAGTTAGACAAACAACTCTAACAAATCTAACCTCAGCCTCGCAGACACGTAGATCATCTGTGCCTACTTTGCCCTCAGAAGTACAACTTGAAGAAGCTGCCTTGCCACAGGCAAAAGAGGGAGAGGGTGAAGTAGAGCAGTTACAATTGGAAGATATGGCCTCAGGAGCATCTGCTTCTGTGCTAGAAAAATCTTTGAAAAATTGGAAGCTTTGGACAAGAAAGTAGATGCGCAATCAGCAAAGATTGATAAAAATACAGAGTGTCTAAACAAATTAACTACACAGGTGGGACAGAATACACAAGCAATTGGACAGTTGACGGAGGCCTCAGTAGAAAATCGAAAATTGGCTGAGGACACCAGACAAAAATTGGAAAATTTAGAGCAAGAGGTAAGACCACTCACTAAACAAGTTGGGGAACATCAGATTTATCTTTCTATGATAGAACTGCGAAATCGTGAGAATAATCTGAGGATTAGATCATTACAAGAGGCAGAAGAAGGAAATCTAACTGAGTTTTTGACCAAAGAACTTTCCAAGTTCTGGAATTTGGAAGAAAAGGACTTTAAAATTGTGTCAGCTTTCAGACTTGGAAGATTTATAAAGAAGGAGAGGCCCAGGGATTGTTTGATTACATTGAGATCGAAGGAGGAAAGGGATAAGATTTTGGGCCTACATTACGAAAAGTCACTGGAAGTTTTGGATAGAAGAATTGAGATATATAAAGATATCCCAAGACAACTGTTGGATCTTAGAGCCGCCTATTCTGAACTAGCTAAACTATTAAGGAGCAACGCAATTCCATTCAGGTGGGATTTTCCCCAGGGATTGTCTTTTACCTTTAGAGCGAGAAAGGTTAAAATTAGAACATTGGAAGAGAGAGATAAATTTCTGGCTACACACGGAGAGGACCTACATAAAGGAATTGAACTACCTTCCGGGCCTGAGGCAAAGCCAGCATCAATACCTCCACCTCGGGAACTTGAAGATCAAGAGAAGACACCACCCCAGGAGAAATAACCAGATAGATCCAGGATGTCTCTGCAACTGTTGAGCTGGAATATTAATGGTTGCAATATCCCGGAGAAAAGGAAGAAAATTTTTCATATATTAAAAAAAGAACAATTGGACATTATTTGCTTACAAGAAACACATGTGACGAGGCTCCACAGAAAAGTGTTAACAAATAAAAGATTGGGCCAGGAATTTATTTCGTCGGATAAAGTGAAGAAGAGAGGAGTGGTGATATATGCAAAAGAGAGCCTGTCACCTAAATTTCTATTTAAAGATGAACATGGAAGGATTTTGGCTATTGAGATACAATATCAAGGAGAGAAATTGCTGATATTAGGAATCTATGCGCCTAATGAAGGGAAATCGGAATTTTACAAGAAGTTGCAGGGGACAATGCTGGATCATCTGGATTACAACAACATCATAATGATGGGAGACATGAACGGGGTCGTGTCAACTAACATGGACAAGTCGCAAAGTCAAAACATCACAAAAGATGGCAGACTACCTAAAACCTTTTTGAAATGACTGACAATATGGACTTGATCGACATTTGGAGAACAAAAAACCCACTAGGTAGAGAAGGAACATTCTTTTCTGAAGCCCAACTGACCTGGACAAGAATCGACCAAATATGGATCTCTAGAGGCCTGGCACCTAGGGTTAGAAAAGTGGAAATCTGCCCAAAGACCTGTTCTGACCACAACGCAGTAAAGATGGACATGACACTACTACCAACTGGATCCTTTAGATGGAAGATGAATGACAATTTGTTTAGAGATCAGGAAATTACCAAGAAGGCCCAAAAAGTTTTGAAAGATTATTTTGAGATAAATATGAACAATTCGGTGGAAAAAAGAATCGTCTGGGACGCAAGCAAAGCTGTCATGAGGGGTTTTCTGATACAACAGAATGTAGTAAAGAAAAAAACACAAAATGAGAAAAAAGACAAGATTTTGGATAAAATAAAAGACTTGGAGAAGAAATTAAGAGTGAATCCAAAGTCACAGCCAACTCTGAGAGAAATTAAACTTTATCAAACACAGTATTCTAAATTGATAAATCAGGAAATTGAATGGAAGATCAAATTAATGAAACAAAAACGTTTGAGTCGGCGAATAAATGTGGAAAACTGCTATCTTGGCAGTTGAAGAGAAGACAAAGATTAAACACGGTTACAAATTTAGAGGTTGATGGAAGAAACATTCAGAATCCAGTGGACATTAGAAAGTGTTTCCAGAGATATTTTAAAAAGTTATATACCCAAGGGCCGCAAGACGAAGTTGAGATTAAACAATTTTTGGCAAAAAATGGATTATCTAAACTGTCACAAGAAAATAGGACAATCCTGAACTCTAAAATAACACGACAGGAGATTGAACAAGCTATTCAGAACATGCAACTTGGCAAATCTCCAGGGCCAGACGGGCTGACCTCCAAGTATTACAAGACACTAAAAGACTATTTGATACAACCTTTGATGGAGGTTAGCAATGAAATTATGGAGGGGAAGAGGGCACCGGATTCGTGGAAGGAAGCGTTTATCACATTGATACCAAAGTTAGAAACTGAAAAGACACAACTGAAGAACTACCGTCCCATCTCCCTTTTAAATGTGGATTACAAAATATTTGCAGATATTTTGGCAAGTAGATTTAAAAAGTTTTAAATGAAGTAATTCATAAGGACCAGGCCGGTTTTCTCCCAGGTAGACATTTGTTTGCTAACACAAGGAACATTATTGATATTTTGGAACTTCTCCAAACTGACATAAATACAAAAGCTGTTTTAATTTTTATAGATGCGGAGAAGGCCTTTGATAACATTTCTTGGAAATTTATGATGGGAAACTTAAAAGAGATGGGAGTGGGACGGGGTTTTGAGAATGGGATTGAGGCGATATATTCAGAACAGAAAGCAAAACTGATAGTTAATAATGTGGTTACAGAAGAGTTCAAAATTGAAAAAGGGACACGACCAGGTTGGCCTATTTCCCTTTGTTATTTATCTCGGTCCTGGAGGTGCTATTGAACATGATCAGAGGGGACCAGCTGGTGGAAGGAATTCAGGTTGGTCAGAAACAATATAAATTAAAAGCTTTTGCAGATGACCTGGTTTTGACCTTGCAGAAGCCAGAGCCTAGTACGAAAAGAGTATTACAATTGATTAATGACTTTGGTCGGGTGGCGGGATTTAAATTAAACAAACAGAAAACTAAGGTTTTGGGGAAAAATCTGACTGAGACAGAGTCAGAACGGTTTCAGAATGAGACGGAACTTAATGTGGTTAAAAAGTAAAATACCTAGGGGTAAACATAACAGCAAAAATCTAAGTCTATTTAAGGATAATTATGAAAAATGTTGGACAGAAATTAAGAGAGACTTAGACAGTTGGTCAAAATTGAAACTTTCTTTGTTAGGCCGAATTGCTGCGATTAAGATGAATGTATTGCCAAGAATGTTGTTTTTATTTCAAACACTGCAGGTATTGGACAAAATGGGGTGCTTTCAGAAGTGGCAGAGAGACATTTCGAAGTTTGTCTGGCAGGGCAAAAAGCCCAGAATTAAGTTTAAGATACTAACCGATGCAAAACAAAGAGGGGGCTTTGCCCTGCCGGACTTAAAGTTGTACTATGAAGCCGCAGCGTTCTGCTGGCTAAAAGACTGGCTACTTCTTGAAGACACTGATGTGTTAGATTTGGAGGGGTTTAACAATGTTTTTGGATGGCATGCATATTTATGGTATGACAAAGTTAAAGCAAATAAGGCCTTTAAGAACCATATTGTTAGAAAATCACTGTTTAATGTCTGGACAAAATATAAAGACTTGCTGGAAAATAAAACACCAAGGTGGCTTTCACCTTTGGAAGCTAAGGCTCGAAAAAGACCCAATATGGAGGCCAAATGGCCAAAATATTGGGAAATACTAGAAAAGATGGAGACAATTGGAAATTGCAGAGCTTGGAGAAAATGAAAGACAAAGTGCGAGATTGGTTACACTATGCTCAGATTAAAGAAGTTTTTAAAAGTGATAAGAAACTAGGGTTCCAGGTGGAGAAATCGAAATTAGAAACAGAATTGTTAGAACCAAAGACTAAGATACTTTCAAGGATGTATAACTTGCTGTTGGAATGGAATACACAAGATGAAATGGTTAAATCGGCTATGATAAGGTGGGCACAGGACATTGGGTACAATATTATGTTTGAGGACTGGGAAAGGCTGTGGAGTAATGGATTGAAATTTACTGCATGTAATGCTTTGAAAGAAAATGTAATGAAAATGATTTATAGATGGTATATGACCCCAGTCAAACTCGCAAAAATTTACCACCTGTCTGATAACAAGTGCTGGAAATGCAAAGAGTGTGAAGGAACGTTCTTTCACCTCTGGTGGACATGCCCTAAAGTGAAGGCGTTCTGGGAAATGATTTACAATGAATTGAAAAAGGTATTTAAATATACTTTCACTAAGAAACCAGAGGCTTTCCTTTTGGGTATTGTCAGCCAAGGGGTGGCAAAGAAGGAACAGAGATTTTTATTGTACGCAACAACAGCAGCAAGGATACTACTTGCAAAACATTGGAAAACCCAAGATCTACCCACACTGGAAGAATGGCAGATGCAACTGATAGACTATATGCAACTGGCTGAAATGACTGGCAGAATCCGTGACCTGGGAGAAGAGAGAATCGAGGAGGATTGGAAGAAATTTAAGAACTACCTACAAAAACATTGTGATTTGATTGAATGCTGAATAAGATGCTGGACTAAATAACTGAGCACCACTTAACTTAGAAATTTTTAAGGAAACAAGAAAAATTGTGAAAGTTTAACTCTTTATGAGAACTTTAAGATTATGAAATATCGAAGAGATATAAGAATTTAAATAAGATGATAAATTGCTGACAAAATGTTATAATGATGAAGGTGGGAGCGGGAGATGTGAGGAAGTCCTAAGAAAATGTGAAAATATGTTAAGACGAATGCTATATTGTTTATTACATTTATTCCTATTGTAAAACCTAATAAATTGCTTTAAAAAAAAAAAAAA